TCTATGAGGAAAGTTCAGTGTCTGCATGCAGAGGGAGGAGATACTGAATGTTTGGATGCATTTTAAGCAGCCATGACCCAGGAATGATCTCTAACAGCTATCTTTGGAGTGGACAGTTAAGTTATCACTAGGCTGTAATGTAGACACTGCATTTTCTCTGAAAAGACAGTGTTTACAGCAAAAAGCCTGAAGGTAGTGATAATACTCTCCAGAACAAATCCAATAAGCTGTAGTTGTGCTGGTGACTATAGTGTCCCTTTAATTCCCAAAGGATCATGGGTAATTAAGGCTTATTTATCATTTGTCTTACTCGGCTGGCACCAGGTTAAATGATAGGAACACTTGTTCAGTGTTTAATGGATACATTTTAGTTAGGTAGGTAAGTAATGATGGCTGAGGTGGACATTTTGGAATAACAGTTAATTAAGTTCTTTGGAATGTAGATTGCTAAGGAGAAGATTTCCAAGATTCAGGATAAATTGATTTTTTGTGTGTGTATATGCATGTGATAGATAGAGAGATCTATATAATGTGTATGTATCCATATGTGTAATATATATATATAGATAAATAAAATAGCAAGCGCTGATTGTTAAAACCGTTCAATCACAGTTAGGTTTGTAAGCATTTACGGGTCTGAGTTTGTCTGTAAGAAGAGTTTAGGTAGAAGGGTGTTTTTGACATGTGCAACAACCACACTGCATTTTCTTAGCGTGCCGCCATGAATTAAAATGATAAAGATTTTGCAAGTTTTCAATGGCAACTTCTTGTTGCATTCAGATGTTCAAGTTAATGAAACGTACTTATTTCTGGAGGTAGCATGGGCTGTTACCTACAAAATCTGACCCTGTTTTTCATTTCAAAGTATTTTTTATTTTTAGCAGCCTTTGACTGTTAAATTGAGAATTAGTTTGTTTTTAGTAGATTACAAATGTCAGGAATGAAGTTTTAGGATTTTAATTATTTTATTATAATTTCAGATGGGAAGAGTAAATGAATTAATTTGGATCGCTTCAGTGAGGGTGGATTTTGTTTTGTTCAGTCATAACTTTACAAGTTAATTTTGCTGTCGCACTTGCTGATACTGGCCACTTTTTTGTTTATAATTAAGATTGTCCATTAAAACATTTAAAATCCAGCGATTATTACAGTTAGGTTTTGAATACTTGGATGTGAAGGTAAATAACATGCTATTCTTTCAGGATCGGGCCGTGGCAAAGCAGATTGGTGCAAATGCAATCAATAAGATGGGGAGATGGAATCAGACTAGTTTTTCATTATCCGTGTGGGATGATTTGATTTAATGTGGTCTCTTCCTCTTATTTATTTATTTTTTCCATGTACCATAACAAATGTTTGGATTCTAGGTCACTCAAGGGGTCTGGCAGGCCATGCAACGTGCAAGAGCCAGAATATATGGATGTAACCAGAACTACAATCAGGGCAATGTATAGTTGATCTGAGGTTTTGGAATTATGGTCATTAGGTTGGATTGTTCTACATATGTGAATGGTTAAAGGACCACTATAGGCACCCAGACCACTTCAGCTTAATGAAGTGGTCTGGGTGCCTGTTCCAGCTAGGATTAACCCTTTCTTCTATAAACATTGCATTTTCAGAGAAACTGCTATGTTTATAATAGGATTAATCCAGCCTCTAGTGGCGGTCTCATTGACAGCCGCTAGAGGCGCTTCCCACTGTGATTTTCCCAGTGAGAAGACGCCAGCGTCCATAGGAAAGCATTGAGAATGCCGCGCATGCACATTCAGCCAATGACGACGACAAGGAGGAGGAGAGTTCCCCGCCCGGCGCTGAAAAAAGAGGTAAGTTTAACCCCTTCCACCGCCTAGAGCCCGGCGGGAGGGGTACCCTGATGAAATCACTGGCTGACACTGTCTCTGCCCCTCTCCTGTGAAAAAATAAAATATTAGTTATAAAAGAAATAGAATACAGTTACAAATAAAATATACTTAGATCATATATATATAATTATCTATATGATCTAAATAACTATACACACACTGTCTATATATTAATATCAAAATACACATAGGATATTGAATATATATATAAATATATAATAAAAAAATATGTTAATACGTTAAATACACTTTTTTATATGTGTAATTTCGTTCTAACTGTATTTTGATATTTATATATTGATATCAAAATACACGTAGAATGAAATATATATCTATATACATAAGTATATAGGTATATATCACTATATGTATACTTATATATAAATAAAAATAATTAAAAAAATATATACATATACACACGTATATATAATAATTTGACATATTTATGTAATAATTTTACATAATTAGGTCCTTTTATTAATTACAATTTGCGGGACCTGCCTGACAAGCCAGGCCGAAAGTAAAGGGAATTTAATTTGCTAGCACTATATTTAACCCTATAACTTTCCAAGACACCATAAAACCTGTACATGGCAGTACTGTTTTACTCGGGAGACATCGCTGAACACAAATATTTGTGTTTCAAAACCGTAAAATGTACTAAAACGAAGTTTTTTGTATTTTCCCCACACAAACGGCACTCACAATGACGAGATTATTGCTGTAATACTTTTTACTGTTTTGAAACAAATATTTGTGTTCAGCAAAGTCTCCTGAGTATAACAGTACCCCTCATGTACAGGTTTTATGGTGTTTTCAAAAGTTACAGAGTCAAATATAAGGCATGCGTTTCAGTTTTTTCACATTGAAATTCGCCAGATTGGTTATGTTCCCTTTGAGACTGTATGGTAGCATACCATTTGCAAAAGTAGACAACCCAAGGTATTGCAAATGGGGTATGTTCAGTCTTTTTTAGTAGCCACTTAGTCACAAACACTGGCCAAAATTGGCGTTCAAATTAGTTTTTTGCATTTTTACACACAGACATTAACGTTAACTTTGGCTAGTGTTTGTGACCAAGTGGCTTCTAAAAAAGACTGGACATAACCCATTTGCAATACCTTGGGTTGTTTACTATTGCAAATGGTATGCCATCATGAGGGTAATTCTCATTCCTGGGCTACCATACGGTCTCAAAGGCAACGTAACCAATCTGGCGAATTTCAATGTGAATAAAACTGAAAAATTTAACATGCTATATTTGACACTGTAACTTCCCAAAACACCATAAAACCTGTAAAAAGGGTTGCTGTTTTACACGTGAGACATCACTGAATACAAATATGTGTATTTTATTGCAGTAAAAGCAAACAGTATTATGACATTCACAGTTAAAATGTCATGTAGAACTAAGAAAATGTTAAAAACAAAATCTTATTTTCTCTCTTTTTTTTTATATTTTATTTATATTAAATTATGTTCCATACCTAAATATTTGATGTTAAATGAAAGCCCTGTGTCCCCTGAATAAAATGATATATAATAAGCGTGGGTGCATTTAATATGAAAGAGGTAAATTATTGTTGAACAGACATAGTAAAATTCTGTGGTTTGTTTACATTTTTTTGGGGTGATCACAACTTGTACATTTGGCTGCGGTCTTAAGGAAATATTTCCTGTAACCGTTTTAGTTTGATCAGAGAACAAGATGGCCAGCTCCAGCTATAGAATAGGGCATTAGGAAGTAGTGTTGATTTTGTTAAATCTCTCCTTACTGCATTATTTCCTTCAACAGTTTAATTTTGTTCAGGAGTTGGTCCCGCGATTGCTATGGTTAGAATCGCAAGAGTAACGGTGTTGGAAAAGTTGCGCATTACGCTGGGTGTTTTACATACACCTATATGGTAAGGTTCAGGTTCATTTGGCAGATATTGGAGTTAATATACTTAAGTTGGGAGTTACAATACATGATCGAAGGGCCTTGGCAATAGGGGGCCTCAGATGGGGTAGTGTCTACCCCAGTTGAGGCAGTGGGGCAAAAGTCATCCTCAGGGTCAAGTTCTGAGGAAGGATATGGTGGTAAATGGTTTTACATAAAAGGCGGTCAGGTTAGTTATGACTGACTGGCTATGTGGTGGTTAATAAAGTTAAAAGTTTTGAAAGTTGGTGAACCATATGTTATATGGCCATGGTTACAAAGTTATGGTTGTATGCCCCTTGAGCTTTGAATAAACACCACGGCCAAGCCCACTGAAAAGTAATTAAACGTCTGTGGTTATTGTGTGTTTTATTTATACCAATATTGCCTACCATACATATAGAGTGAAGCACTACTAACCCCTTAATCACAGATGATGTCACTAACCTTGTCCTATTCGGGTTAATCTAAATACAATTATACAGTTTTATTTGTTAAAATAGGATTGTCGGGTGCCTGATGTCCCAAGCTCCATGCCAACTATGCTCCTTGAACGGGTTACAGCGGGAAGAGCTACATGATCTAGTTGCACTTTGTGCTATTTATTAGACATGTGGTGATGTGCTAAATTCACAGCAGGATATGCCTACCTGCACTCTGTTATACCTAAGGGGAAACAGCACTTCCTCCTGACCCATATAACATATTCAGCGCTACTTGAGTGTGCCTGCTATACTTCTCTAGTAACTTTCTTACAGATTTCTTTGAAACAGTGTACACAAATCTCATACATGCATAATTCCATACATAAAATAAAAAAATCCGCTACTTTTCCAAATCATCTCACTTGGCAGTTGCTATTAACTTGCTGAGCATTTTCATTCCTATTTGTATTTATTTTTTGCACCCTCAGTGGCTTCCCCTTGAAATGTAAGAGCTCATCTATATTCTATATTGTAGTACAAGTGTTAATTGTGTATGCATAGTGCTCACATGGAAAACGAAGTACCAGAATTGACAGAAAAATTAAAGTCACTGTTGTATTCTTGTCAAGGTATCTCTAAGATGAAAATAACTATCACAAGTTTATTTATTTTTTTATTAACATAAGTATGTTTATTTGGAATTTCACAGCAATACAAAAAAGTATATACATTACACAATGACAATCATGGATGATATTAACATCATACATCATTCTATATTTATATATTTAAGGCTGGAATATCAGTGAACGTGAATTTCAAATAAATCTAATTCTTTCAACTAAAGTCATTGTGGTTTAAAGGGACACTATAATCACCAGAACTACAGCTTATTGCATTTGTTCTGGTGAATATAATCATCCCCTTCAGGCTTTTTGCAGCAAACACTGTCTTTTCAGACAAAATGCAGTGTTTACATTCAGAGGCATAACTAGAACTTTTCAATCTCCAGGCTTTCAAAGAAATTTGGCTGTGTTGTCTCCTTGGACAATGAGGAAGAATGGCTATTATCTCCACCTTCTCCTTCCATATTTTCTTGTGTTTCCTCTGAATTAGCAGAAACACGTGAGAAAAAATATCATAGTTGAAATTACAATTTCTGAGGTAGAGCACTTTGACCTTTCGTTCTTCTTGAGTAAAACAAGGGGAGCAGTTTGGTTTTTTTCAGCTTGCCATCAGATCTATATCTGGTATACCCCATAAGTCACAAATTATTTGAAAGGTATCCAAACTTTGCTTCCACTCACCAGGTTGGCTCAGATAATCTGTAAATATGTTTAGTTGTCCTAGTAGGTGTATAGCGGACAGCCCTTCCAGATTCTGTTGTGCCCCCCAAAAAATTGGTATAGTCTCTTGCATCAATCTCTTGCCTTTTGTCCCTCCTTGGTGATTTAAAGAAGCCATAACAGTAACGTTGTCCACCTAAACCTTCGCCCATCCTTTTCATTTTTTTTAATAAGGATCTTTTTATCTATTTTGACTCAATATTTATGATCTTTTATAGAGGATTTTTTTTTTAAATCTATTTTTATCCAATATTTAGAAAACTCAATTTTTGATCTTTTATCCTTTTATAATCACATTGTTAATGCACAAAAGTTCAAAGTATGCAATACAATGTATTTCTGCTTTTTGATACTGATATTTGTTTGTCTTTTAATATAATCTGTATAATTATGTATATTTATGTACAAATTACAATATCTTCTATTACATTTTCATATATGTTTTTTCTTTTATATACAAAAGTCCCCCATGAAGTCAGATATTTATTCCATTTATTTATGTGACTTTTCTCTTTCAATTCCCTTTGCACATCTGTGTGCTGAGTTTTAATAGACGGAATGCGCTACGGTCGCACATAGCATGGACGTTCGTTGAAAAGAACAGGAAGAGCAATGCATGCCGGTGTTTGGAGTCCTGATGAACACCGGAAGTGACGCGACAGCAAGAAGAATTACAGGAACATGCTGATTGGAAGAAGCGAAATGGCGTGAAATTCGAACGCCATAAAACCAGGAGAAGGCGCAATGATGGACATGCCAACCGAGGAAGCCGGTAATTCTGGCAAAACGCGTCTTGGCGAAAGGAGCAGGCTGTATATTATACATTTGTATATATACACATTTTTTATTTTTGCATATTTTAGTGTTATTTTAATTGATACAAAATAAAAAAAATTCTGAAGTTTATCATTTCATACCTGGTTCCAGTAAGGGAGGTGTCACCCTGGAATTTGACACCAAGCGAAGACACTTAGAGCCAGTCTATAAAAGGCTCTAATTAAGGTGAGCACTCATTTTTTTCATACCTATACCATAAGATTTACAACCAAAGGTGATACACCTAGATCTTTTGTCTATTCTGTTTCACTCCACTATGTACATCGTGGATAATAACTGAAAGGCGGTTGTAAGAGGGGTCAATGTTGTCTACCTTAACCCCTTAAGGACATGACATGTGTGACATGTCAAGATTCCCTTTTATTCCAGAAGTTTGGTCCTTAAGAGGTTAAAGACATGGATACGCTAAAGTTTAGAGCCTATACCATAAAAGGCTCTAAAAAACATAAGTATCTCTATATATCTAACTAACACCCATTCCCCTGTATCTCACAGAATTATACTATGTATATTTTTCTTTTTATATTTTTTTTTTACATGTAAACCCCCTAAAAAAAAAAAAATCTAATAAGGGTAAGTGTGTTCTTATTTTACCTGCACTTCACTGGAGGTGTAAACAATATACTGATATAGCGCTGCACTCTGACAGAGTCTGGTGAGTGAGATCACTGACCAGACTCAAAGTTATTTGTGTTTTCTGGTGATTACTATTTGTGTGGGATTTTTTGGGAGTTCCCACAGAGTGTTTGTCAGCAGCTGAAATATTACTTTTAAGAAAATCATTTGTTGTGCCATTTTTCCCACACCTTCCTGTGTTATATATGTTCTTCAGAAGATGTTTAAATGTTAGCAGAGCCCTTAGTTCCATCAAAAATTCCAACGTCTCATAAGCCACGTCCACTCAGCCAGATGTTTGTATTGGGTTTCCCGTCCTTTCCCACTGACATCTGTAGTCAACCATTCCCACTCTGTATCCTCTAGCAAGAAAAAGACTCATGCAGTCATGTGTTGCATAAGGCTGCCGCCTTAACCATGTAATAGTCTGGCTGTACGATCGTCCGTCAAGATCATCCAGTTTTTCTTGGTATGGATTCAGGCACCTAGGCAGTATATATCTTGGGATGATCTAACTATATTCTTGCAAGCTTTTAATAATCATCTCTGTTTAAGTTCCCTTTCTTGGGCATTTGTTCACGATCAGGATGTTGACCAGAAAATAAAAAATGCTGATACCTTTTCCCCGAGGAAGGCAATTGGGCTGATCAGAATCTTCGAGAAGGTCCTGGGAGTGGAACTTAGACCAAATTGCATATCTTGAACCTTCTGTGGTAACCAGCGATGGGGATGTGATAAGACGCATCTTGAAGGTCTATAGATGTTAACCATAACCATGCTGATGAGTGTATATGGGGAATTTTGACTGAAGGTTCTCCATTTTGAATGTTCTTTTCTTCAGTAAAGTATTCACCTTCTTCCAGAATCATTCTCCATTTTCCAGAGTGCTTCAGGGCAATTAAGACAGGAGAGTAAATTCCTTGAAATACTTCTCAAATAGGAACAGGGAAATAATGTCTTGATTAATGAGCTTCTTTAGGCATTCCTTCATAGGAGTCTTTTTCTTTAGATACTGAAGACAAAGGAAACAATAGGAGAAGGTAAGTTTGGCTTGACAGTGCAGCTTTAACTGCTAACCGCAACACTAACAGCCAAGGGAGTGAAGTATCGCTGGGAACCTACGCACATACTGCTCATTCAACATCATGACACTGAAGACAAAGTGGCAAACATCGCCAAGATGGCCACAGTCCTAGCGGCCCTGGGCCTCGCAACCCCACCTACCTCCACAAACGGGGACCCAGCTTATCTAGTCCCATTCACCCCCGCTGCCCGAAGAGTACCTGGGAAGGAGACCACATGATGCACCTGCTTATATGTTATGTTACTAGTATTTCTTATTATGTTGGGAGTAGCCCTCAGTTCAACGTCAATTTTTCTGTGCACAACAAAACCCCGTTTTAGATGCATCTCACTAAACCTAAAGCCAAACAAGGCCGAGCCCGGGAAGATCCAGAAGTTAGTCACTAAGTTCTCACCCCCACAGTAGCTTCCAATATGAATTAAAATACTGAGGCTACCATACTAGTGCTCTGGGCCCTGCTCCATCGCAACAGGGTCTACCGACAAACTAGTTTGTGCGCCCCTGTTAAGCTTACTCTGTAATATAAAACATTAAGCCTACTTTACACTAGTTTGTTTTTACATTTATCTACGCTCTTCTCTATAAAAAATGCAGTTGAATCGAAGGACATGTTCAAGTCTAACGATATAATGCGTGTTACCGCTATTGTGGCCGCGCAGGGCTGATTATATTCTTATGCACGACAAAAATCAAGAATTAAAAAAAAAAAAAGGAAAATCTAATATCTTGCTACCCCTGCCTAGTCTGGCATTTATGCAATGCCTTCACACAGTTAATAAGCAAATGGTGTTTCACTCTGCCTCATAATAACCATATGTAGTTGCATTACTTGTTTTTTTAACCCTAAACGACCTAGGACGGTTCAGGACCGTCATCAGCATTTTTGCATTGCCGACCGGTGACTGTCCTGAACCGTCCTAACGGTGCAATGTACTTACCCGATCGCCGTCTTTCCCCCGGCAGCGATCGGCGTTGCTCCCAGTGTGGGGAGACTGCCTGCAGCCCAGACAGTCTCCCCGCGGCGGATTAGGACCCCTGTGGCCATATATATATATGAATAAAATACAAATAAGTAAATTGAATAAAAAATTTAAAATAATTAAAAAAAAATATATATCTATATGAAATTTTATTCTAACTATATTTTGATATTAAAATATATTTATATCAAAAAACACTTAAAATGAAATTGTATATATATATATATATATATATATATATATATATATATATCTTTGTATATATATATAAATAAAAATACAAAAAATATACATATGTCCATATACAAAATTACATAAATAATTATGTATAAATATGTATATATATTTAAATTCTACATGCATATTTATGTAATATTTTGACATAATTAAGTAATTTTATTAATTGCAATTTGAGGGACCTGCCTGCCAACCCAGGCTGAAAGTCCAGAGAATTTAATTTGCTAGCACTGTATTTCACCCTGTAACTTTCTATGACACCCTAAAACCTGTACATGGGGGGGTACCGTTTTACTCGGGAGACTTCGCTGAACACAAATATTAGTTATTCAAAACTGTAAAACATATCACAGCGATGATATTGTCAGTGAAAGTGACTTTTTCCCCGGCATTTTTCACACACAAACAGCACTTTTACTGATATAATTGTTGTGATACGTTTTCCTGTTTTGAAACACCAATATTTGTGTTCAGCAAAGTCTCCCGAGTAGAACAGTACCCCCCTATGTACAGATTTTATAGCATTTTTGAAAGTTACATGGTCAAATATTTTTACATGGAAAATGGCCAGGTTGGTTACGTTGCCTTTGAGAGCGTATGGTAGCCCAGAAATTAGAATTACCCCCATGATGGCATACCATTTGCAAAAGAAGACAACCCAAGGTATTGCAAATGGGGTATGTCCAGTCTTTTTTAGTAGCCACTTAGTCACAAACACTGGCCAAAATTAGCGTTCAATTTAGTTTTTTACTTTTTTCCACACACAAACAATATGAACGCTAACTTTGGCCAGTGTTTGTGACTAGGTGGCTACTAAAAAAAGACTGGACATACCCCATATTGAATACCCTGGGTTGTCTACTTGAAAAATAATATGTACATGTGGGGTGTTATTCAGAGATTTATGACAAATAGTGTTACAATGTCACTATTGATAAATTTGAAAAAATATTATGTTTTGAAACTGCAATATCCTACTTGTACCTATAGCCCTATAACGTGCAAAAAAAAAAAAAAAAAGCAAAAAAGCATGTAAATACTGGGTATTTTAACCCCTTAAGGACCGGCTTGTTTTTGCAATGTTGTACGTTAAGGACCAGAGCAGTTTTGACACTTTTGTGGTGTTTGTGTTTAGCTGTAATTTTCCTCTCTCATTTTTACGGTTCCCATACAAGTTATATATTGTTTTTTTTCAGGACAAGAAGGGCTTTCTTTACATACCATTATTTGTATCATGTCATGTATTTTATTTTTAAAAAAATAATAAAATATGGTGAAAAATTTCAAAAACAAACAAGCATGTTTTTGGACTTTTACTTGAAAAATCTTTTACTTAACTACAAAAGCTAATGGAAAAAAAACTGCTAAATAGATTCAAAATGTTGTCCCGAGTTTAAAAACACCCAGTGTTTACATGCTTTATTGCAAGTTATAGGCCTATAAATACAAGTAGGAAATTGCTGTTTATATATATAATAATTTCCCATCTGTTCACTAGTAACCTCTCTCACAGGAAACACTTAGCAGGAGGAGCAGGTACAGGATTTAACGATTTACACTTTATAACCCATGCTGCAGCTCTAATATCCAATATTTCGCTCTGAGCCAGCGATTGTCTATTCGCAGGCTTCTCTATTGGACTACACAAGGCTACTGTGACACTGAAGAGGGCATGGTAATCTATGCTGTGAGCTTTGTCCGGTAAAAGATTCAAGGTGAGTAAACGGTTTGCAAGTTTACAGCAAATTGAGAGGGGGACCCTATCCATAAGGCCCAATAGGGAATATTACAGATTATAGGTCCCCACCTCAAAAAGGTTGGAGTAATACTTTAATAAATTCATTATGCTTACTTTATCTGCTTTATTTTGGTGTTGAGCAAATATCGTAACAGCATTTTTTTGGAGGGAGAGATAGGGGGAGGCAGGGATAACAAAGGTTTTCTCCTATTTAAATAAGCAATTTTTAGACAATTGCAAATTAGCATTTATATCTCTTACATAGTCTAAGTGTAGTAAAACGTATTTCCAAAATGAGGCAATTAACAGATTATTAAGAAATTGAAACAAAGAATACAATCATCAGGGGAATATGTTATAAGCAGAACATGAAAAGGAATCTGTTTGTAATAGGTCACATATACCAGTTCAGCAGAATGAGGCTTATCCTCACCAAGACAAAACTAGTTGTTTCCAGACACTTGTATTAAACAAAAAGTTTTACTGAATGAAAAAAAAAAAAAATGTAGTGTAGTAAAACCAAATCACAAGAACTGGGCTAAAACAGTCAAGTGGTTGGTTGGGTAATATTCAAAGCCGCTAATATCGACTACATTTTGCAACATGATTTTCCATTCATTAAAAAGATTATAATATATATATAAACCCCGAAGATGTTACACAAACATTTGTGAATATTAAAATACTTAGAGGAACACTGTAGGCACCAGTATCATTTCATATCAATGAAGTAATCTGGGTGCCATGTGCCCCCCTCCCCCCCTTACTTTAACTTTGCAGCTGAAACCATGACAGTGACAACACAAATTTACATTTTCCTTATACAGTGGATTACTGACCTTTCTATCCAGATTTTCTTCTCCCCCTCACGTACCATTTTACCTCCATTTGTTCTGTCTTCTTTAGAGTTCATTGTACAAAGTTAAATGGGACAAAATCCACACTAGGGTGCCTTTTGATACACTTTTGGAACTACTGATTTTGCCACAAAAATAGCACAACACAAAACAAGATTTAGACACATGTTCAGATTTATTTGGAAATTCACAGTTTCTAAATTGCACTAAGGCTCTGGAGATACAGTTGTATTAACCACATAGTTCTAAGCAATAAAATAAAAATCCTCCTTTGAATTTTCTTGCAGATGAGTCCAATGTTTTAGCACAGGGTGCATGTTTGCATCACACGATACTAAGAAAATGCTTAGTCTTAAAAAGAATCCAGATGGTGAAGTGTTAATGAATGAAGCGGAGAGCAGCAAAACCATAAACAAAATGGGTAAAGGGTAAACATGTTCATTACCAAAAGCATGGCATTTAGACACAAATACAAAAGTAGAATGCCAGGTGTCAACATACTGGGGCACCAATAAAGTGCAGAAACCATGTTTATCTCAACATCACAAAGGGCCTGAAATCAGATCAACAACAATAGTATATACAAAGATATGCTTTTTCTTTCAGCTACACTGGGAGTTTATTTTCTAATATTGTTGGTAATTTACAAAACAAAAAATATCATTAGGATGTACCACCACCAAACGCAGGTCTGTACAATTTCAAAACAGTGTAAATGTATGAGGATTACCTTGGTTGATACTAATAAACTACAAAATGAATGGCTACTGCAGATGACAACCTTCTCAGGAATTTATTTACTAAATTATAGTAATTGTGTTAACTTGACATCCAACATGTGACATTTAGGGTAAAACAAATCACTTGAATGCGAGGGGTGTTTGCAAGTCTGTTCTAACTGCACCATGACAAACGGTTTAATGAACAGGCATCCAAGGTCTCTTATTGGCCTGTACTTTGTCATTTATTCAAGTAATCGTTTGAGATATATTGACACGGAGGGCATATTTTAGCATGTCCCTGCTGGGCCAGGATTGGGCTATAAATTTCTTGTGTTACCATTCCCCCCCAAAAATAAAATATGGAATGAGGCAGGGCTGTACTGCCTGAGAAATATCCAACAAACAAAGAAAGTGTACCTAAAAATTGGGAGAAAAACAATAGCCTAAACTTCTTGAAGATAAAAGGGCTGGTATAAAAGAGGACGAAGAGGTCCAAAAACAATAACAATTTTATTGGATATCGATACTAAAAGGTTGAAACAATGAAAACAAAAGAAAAATAAATATAAAATAGTTGATATAAATTCTGATGTCCTGAAAAATATATGTACAATTAACTGCTGCGCACGTCTGAGCTGTTGGAGAGAGATTGTATAGGTGCTGCTTGTATATAAACACGAGGAAAAATAGTATGTACTGCGGTTTAGATATAGAAAAATATATCAATAGGTTCTGTATAATTAAAAAGCAAGGTACTACTTAAGTTCCAATAGTCCAGAACCCTAATGCTTAGACATATAATCATGAGAACATAATAGGAATCTAACCACAAAGTCTAATTGCAATAAACTTGATAAACTGATAACAGAGAAAAAATAGATATAGATGAAAATCTAGCCAAAATGCCTTGTGTGTGGAGATCCTATAGAGACTGGAATGTAACTATGTTAGTAGCACGCTCTATAGATGCCGTCTTTTTGATCATTACCAGCGATATTTCTGATTGTCTTTTTGTCATTTCACATTTATCTGCAGTTGGGGTTGTTATAGGTGCCCTCGAAGGTGGAGTGTTAGCCGGAGTGTTAGCCCTTTCCTCCCCTGTCTCTGGTTAGTCTGCAGCCAGTATAGGCTGCTAACATACTTGCAATATCTAGCACAGAACCTTAGCGTGCTACTAACATAGTTACATTCCAATCTCTATAGGATCTCCACACACAAGGCATTTTGGCTATATTTTCATCTATATCTATTTTTTCTCTGTTATCAGTTTATCAAGTTTATTGCAATTAGACTTTGTGGTTAGATTCCTATTATGTTCTCATGATTATATGTCTAAGCATTAGGATTCTGGACTATTAGAACTTCAGTAGTACCTTGCTTTTTAATTATACAGAAACTATTGATATATTTTTCAATATCTAAACAACAGTACTAAGTTCTAGGCAGTACATACTATTTTTCCTCGTGTTTATATACAAGCAGCACCTATACAATCTCTCCCCAACAGTGCAGACGTGCGCAGCAGTTTATTTTACATATATATTTCAGGACATCAGAATTTATTATATCAACTATTTTATATTTCTTTTTCTTTTGTTTTCATTTTTTCAACCTTTTAGTATTGATATCCAATAAAATTGTTATTGTTTTTGGACCTCTTCGTCCTCTTTTATACCAGCCATTTTTTCTTAAATTTTTTCATGAAGTTTAGGCTATTGTTGGTTTCTCCCAATTTTTAGGTACACTTTCTCTTTGTTTGTTGTCTATTTCCACTTGTGGTTACCCTCCAGCATTTAGTGTACATTTGGCTGTATTCAATTAGTCTTTAGCCTGAGAAATATCAGTTACTTTTTGCTCTCTGCAGAATCTATAGATTTGCAGCAAATGGGACATTTAGAAGTTAATTTTCTCTCTTTTGCATCTTATGCATAATTTTTTAATCACTTTTAAAAAAAATCAAGGCGCTTAACTACAGCGTGAAGTGGATGGGGAGGCTGGGGACTTGATCTGATATTTCTAGTGAGTCTATGAATGAACTGCAGGCACAAACAATTAAAGTTGCTATAACATCAAGTAATAAGTCTTTCCAGACTGCTAACTGTATTGGTCAAAAAACAGATAACATACAGATATGGACACTGCTACACATGGCTTCCACAGTTCGCTTAAGGTAAAGGAATAATACATGTGCTTTAATCTTTAGTACAGGAAAAAGAAAATGCTCATCATGGATAGTAACAAGCTACCAATGCAATAAAGAAATTAACCCCAAAGCTAGCCCCAAAAATAATAAAACATCACTTTCATTCAGAAATAACGATTGCCTAAAGTGACAAGTAAAAAGTAACTGAAAAATGCAAGGTACGGTAAGATGCATAACATTTCTGCCCTCTTCAAAACTCGAGTTGAGACAGAATTGATGGTGCACTGCATTTTTTTTTATTTATTTTTTTTAGCTATTCCACCTCTTATTTAGAGATAGGGATCTGATGTGAAATAATGTGTCTCACAGCAGGGGGGTTAAAGGAACACACCAAGCACCATAACCACTATTACTGCACCCCACCCTTTCAGGGGTGACCGAGCACTCATGACAGTTTGCTGTAGTGGTTAAAGTGCTTGGAATGTTCCTTTAATTCACTAAACAGAGTTGCGGGGAGCTAAGCTATGGCTACTTGTTATATTGAAGAAAAACTAAAACCTTTCAAACTTTGCAAGCCTGGTCTGAATATTGCATATCGCTACAGCAAGCTGTTGTAGTTATGGTGCATGGAGTGTTCATTTAAAACAGGTTATGAAATACAGATTGTTACTGCAGCTGGTTCATTCAAAATGAAAATTTGACAAGATTTTAAATGTCCACAAAAAGCTGTAATGAAGAAATTGCTGGCTGCACACCTCTGCAACCGATTTTCAGGGCTTAAGTAGACATGTCATGCACAAAACATGTAGACAGGGAGATCATGTGCAGGTGGGTATAGATTGTGCTTCATCCTGGACCAAGATAGTCTCTGCAATAAACAGGATGGCTGCGCATACATCCTTCCTGTACCAAAATGTGATCGAGCTTGATAGCATGCAGCCCCTCACTAGGCCTTGGTGGATGCGGTATTAACTTGTGAAATACTAGCACATCAGTGGCATTGGGGAGCACTGATTTCACCAATATGCTGGAAATGTCATAAGTAAAATGTAATTCTCAATTTGCGAGCAACATAAAATTTTGCATGACAGGTATAATTTTACACAATTGTAGAAAATCGGCCACATTTAGCTTGCGGATACAGGGTATATTCAATTCAGAGAACACAAAGCTTGCAGGAATGGAAATAATTAAAAATAGTAGTATAAATAATATTTCCAGCACTATTCCAGGAACCATTTCTTTTGTTTTTGTGAGGTTATGATACTATGACAATACAGTTTCAAATCAATATTTTATGGACATTTCATTTCCTTCTCAGTTTTGAGAGCAACAGAAACCTTATATTCTTCCTTAAATGGACAGTATTGTAAAGTAAATGCCTCCACATTCAGCGACATAACTATTTATTGCATGGACAATTTTAAAGTGTTACGTCAAAATTAAAAAGTACACAATGCTAAGAGGGCTAAGAATCATGAAAAAATTTAATACTTGCCAAAACCATCTGCAAAGCTTTTAGACTTTTAGGAAATATGTGGCTTGAAGAGAGAATCTAGGAATGCTTAGGATATTCAAACATGAGAAAATGTTTGTAGGATCCAAGGAGTGAGCATTGTAATAAAAGTCTAAACGAACTTATGCGCTTTAAAAACTATTTCCTTAACACTTTAATTAAGTCACAGTTAAATCTGGACAAAGGTCTGAGACAGGTCACTGTAAAATGAAATACAAGAAGGACTGCAAAAAAACCCCAAAAACGGCCTGGCCAATAATGAAAATAAATAAAATATAATTTATGGAGGCTCGTGATTCATCACTGCATGCTGCTTTGTAGCGATAAAGCATATAATACATCAGCCTCTACAAGCTCTAGAAAGAAATGCAACTCAAGAGAACTGCAAAATGGAAGCCAAAATAAAAGTGTTCAAGAACTCTCCAACACTACTACTTTATTGGCCTAACTCAAACTACAGTATTTTATAGAAGTAGGCCAAACAGGGCAATCACTTGTACCATGGCATTTACCACACTACAAAAGAAAAAAAAAAAACTTTAAAAATTAAGTATGTCCATGGGACACATTACTTGGTGCTCTCTGCAATAATGAGTTTACCTGCGAACATTTAATAAAGTGACAAATAATTATGTTAAATAACTATAACCAACACTTTCCCCAAAAAATAAAGTTACACAACCTCTTGAAATAAATCATGCTTTCTCAAAATTGCATTAAACAAAAAAACAAAAAAACACACAATTCAATTTCTAAATGGTGCATCAGTTATGAAACACTTGTTTAAATGTTCCATTACTAAAAACAAAACGTGGATTCCTGTTCTATTAACAAAATATAACAGATTCCAAGGGAAATGGCAGCAATAAAAAAAAATCTATAAATATATTGTACTGTGTGTCTACAGAAAAACAAAATGTAATTCAGAAAGACTACCACATGGCATGGCATAAGAGTTGGAAAGAAGCCAATTAGAGCTGGCAAAGCTCTTATTTATTTATTAATGAAATCATACCATTTCTTTGCACTAAATCTTCTTAAAATGAAATATCAACTTACAAATGTTTTTTAACTGAAATAAATTTATCTTGGAATGAGTCAGTAGTTTTGAAAAATACATCGGATTGTTTTAGAATATTTGACAGCAATGTATTTAATCCCTTAAGGACACATGACATGTGTGACATGTGATGATTCCCTTTTATTCCAAAAGTTTGGTCCTTAAGGGGTTAAAGATGTACTGCGGAGCAATTCTAGAGAAATTAAAATATTGACCTTTAAATATATTTATATAAAACAATGTAAAAAGATTAACCAGTATTTAAATACATGCAATGTTAAGGAGAGTTATAACTACTGCTCGGTATCAATCCTTTATTCATATCTAATATTAAAATGTGCTACCTGGCTTAGTGTTGGTATTCAAGAAACATCGGGCACCTTTCTATGACCTCACTAGGGATAAAAATAAATATCTAAAAAATAAAAATCACGTGTGGGAAACCACTATAATAGGGTCTGTATCTTATATGCAACCACAGAAAATACATTTGCGGGTCCATACTGTATATCTATAGCCTCCACTGCCAGTGTGCACCCCATGTGCGTGATAAACTCACAGTTATAAATCTATCTGTACAAACTTGAATGAACTTCTACTGTACTCAAAAACAATAGAAACTGTTCCTCCCTGCTGTTATGCCTTAGTTATCGTCTTGGCAGTTGAAACAGACAAAATAAACAGCATGTACATGGTAATCTGTTCTCACTCTTACCTGTGATGTGAAAGGGTTGCAGTATTTGAACAGCAGATCACAAAGACCAGTCAACATTCTACAAACTATGAAGGTACAATAGCTATTTACGCAGGTTAGAAGAACCAATTAGAAGATTGTAGGCCTTGTTATCCTTTTTTTTTTTTTAGTTCTCAAGGTGTTTGGGTTCTATGGCAAACTGGACTCCCCAGTACTGGATAGGCAGTGTACTCTTTAAATTAATACATGGCATGTAGGGGGTGAAGAGGAGTAGAGGAGACAACGAGAATGTGTGTGTAGACAAATACATCTTCTGCCTGCATCATTTATAGCAGATTCCAGAACTTGTTTCCCTTGTAGATCTTGAAAAGGAAGCACACATAGAAAAAAAAAAAAATCTAACACTTGGTCAGATAGCATATTTATGGCCAATATATCAAAAAAAATGGTAGCTAATAGTTCATGTAAGAAAGATGTGCAAATCATATACCGTATTTGTTTTTTTTATCTGATTTGTGCAACATATTTGGCATCTGACAGACTGGTATACAACCAGATTTCCCCATAATAATAAAAATCTGGCCTGTACTTTTGGGTACTTTGCAACCAAGTAATATTTCTTGTTGTTGATATAATCAAACCCTTGTCGGATGCACTGCAGTTGTGATTACATGCCCACTATCTTGGGCAATAGATGGACGCATGTTGTATTAAATATCATCATGCTCTTTGACAAAGATTATAAGTACCTCCAGTGGTTCCCAAACGGTTTGCTATTCGGTGACTTTCAGAATTCTAACAGACCTGCACATACACACATTAATAAATAATAATATGAATAGAAGATGTAAAACAGAGGATATTAGCATCTTGTAATACCTTTTTTTATTGGACTAACAGAATTTTGAAAAGATAAGCTTTTATGTAGGTGTTGTTTTTGCTCAAAAATGTCCAAGTCACAACTCAACTTTGAAATCAATGGGTCGTTTTTACTCAGAAATGCTTTAAACTTAAGAAACTGAAGCTCTCTCAAAAGCTTGTCATTCCAAAATTCTGTTAGTTCAATAAAAAAGGTATTACAAGAATTTCATCTGTTAATTTTACATCTACATCTCGGGACTAATACGGCTACAATCTCTACTGTAAAGCTATGAATAGCATACATTTAGGCAAACATCAACATTAGGCCACTAAGACAGAATACGATCGATGCCTGAGAAGGACAAAAAGATAAACCCCTAGCAATTACATAACTCCCATGATGATTTTGCCAGCTTAGGGATCTACATCTCAGCCAGGTCTACATGCTGGACTGTATTGAGGTTTTATATTCAAGAAGATGGTTTCAAATTGTCTGCAAATGTTACACATGTAACCACATTTTTTGTATTACTCAAGCAAATGGCCTTGCATACCAGTGTTGCTGAACCATACAATAGAAAATTAGACACAAAAAAAGAAAAATCAAAAAAATCTAAACTTTGCACACACTTGGTGCTCTCCCCTCCAGTGGCATTATAAATAGACAGAAGGCACATAAATATGAAAGGTGCAAATACAGGAACAAAGTCAGGATAGGGGACAAGGTGAGTTGAGCTTAAGTATCACCCAACAAGCTGGGCAAAGTTTCTATTTTCCCCCAGTAATTAAACTGTGAAAAAAACCTATACTATAGAACGATATTCAAAGAAAAAGACTTTCCATTTCCTTGTCCAAAGTATCCAAGAACAGGAGATGACCTACAAACCTTCAGATCAGCCCTGTTTCAACACATTGTGTATATAAAGCCAAGTTGGTTGTACCATCCACCGAGCTACAAATCTCACAAGCTGAATCTTCTTCTTCGCAAAGTACATATAAAAAGAAAACAATACCTGTGGTTGAACTTTATTCAGTTTTCTAGATACGACCAGAAACAGTCGTAAGACCAAATGTTCCCACAGTAAGGTCTTTGTTGGTTTTTATGATATCATGGAGGCTGGGCATGGACCCAGACTTAGTTTGTATTAAAGTTTTGATAAACTTTCCTTGGTCCTGAAGTTTCGAGCGCCTACGTTTAATGGCTCTCTTCTCTGTTTTAGTCTTCTGGGGCTGCCCATTACAAAGGGCCGTGCAGGCTGTGATGCCACAGAAATAAGACTCCTCTGATTGGGATGATGTTTCAGAGCTACCCTCAGAAGGCGGACCTTTGTAAGAGGAGTGATATACCTCTCCCATATTAGAGAAGTCTCTTTGATTTGTGAAAAGTTTCTTGGTTTTAATGTCCCCATTTGGGAGAGCTTTTAATGGATCCATTGGTTTCAAAGTCTCAATCTTTTCATTTTTATATTTGCATCGTTTTTTCTGTAAAAAAATAAAATAAAGATAAGTCAAAATTAGGCAGAGGTTTATATATGAATATGAAATAAATTAAACACATCTGAAAAGTAAAGCACACTGAAATGCGACCTTTTAAGAGGAGAGACAAGGGAAGATATCTGTGTTTGTAATTCGATATACACGTGACTTAAGCAGCAAAAGTATACTCTATATAAACTTTCTGTAATAACTTAACCAGTAGAGAGCCTAAATTGTGATTTAAGGGATAAGTGAAACATGGTGTCAAAGCACTAGCATGTAATCCCTGTTTGAGCAGAACTAGGTATGGACCGCCATCTACTGACCAAAACAGCAGAGCAAACAGCAACAATCCAAGTCCTGGCATCTTTATGTTTAGCAGGTATCCTAAATTATTAAAGTTTGCACAAGATGGTACTTTTTCCATAGCAACACACTATGTAGGCAAGGGGGAAAAAAGGGGAGTATGGTTCATTGCCACTTATGCCATGTTTGACTAGGATCAATGCAATTATTGCAATGTATGTGACAGCATCTACATTTGAATCTGTACATTTATTAGTAAGTTAGCAAGCATGACACACAGATCCATAGGTATTAGTGGTTAAACATAGGTGGCTTCAATGTACAGCCGATCTGCTGCTTGAGCATTTTATTAAACTTTTTTTTGTGTGTTTGAACTCAAATAACATTTTATTGTTTCAATGAAGCACATTTGTGACTATACTCTGATACGGTTTCCTTAACTGTCTGGCCCATATGCGAGTCGTCACCACCTAATCTGCACCTTGGCTTGAGATGCTCCAGAATTTCCTATCCATAACGGACATACTATTCATAAATAGTTAAAACATATACATACTTACATGACTGTAGTTTTCTACACCAGCAAACAGCTGGTCTACAGATAATCTATTACTACTTTTATTTTAAAACTGCCTAGTAAGATTATATAAACTATGGTGCTTGCAACCATACCTGTAAGAAACGTACCTTTTTCTCTGGAGAAAATTTCAAGGGTTCAACAATGTACAAGTCATCAAGATCCACTAAACAGATGTAAAAAAATAAATAAATAAAAATGTTGAAAATATTGTAAAAACAAAAAACAAAAAAAAACAAACCACAGGATAAACATAAGATTAAATATTACAGTGCTGGAAGATAATTATCTATGCAGAAGCTTTGTGTTTTAAGCCCCTAAACTGTGTTTTGAGTGCATGATCAACATTTTAATACAAGAACACAGGTGTTACATCAGCATATTTTTCGACTACATAAGCCACAAGAGAAATATGCTGATCCATCGGTGATCAAGTGAGGAAACCAATGAAACCTTCATATTTGTGGGTACATAAGAAAAAAAGACAATGTGAAACTCTGATCTACAAGCCTTGAAGAGTTGATTTGCAGGAACAAAAATTAATATTTAAAATTAAATAAATAAAAAAAATACTGTTAACTTGGTGATTTATTTTTTTAATTACATTTGTGTGGCTGAATACGACTTACTCAGACAAATATTTGGGATGAATAAAGAAGAATTGGAAACATTCTCATATGATGTCCAAGACTCATAGTGTGGGCTTTAAATGCCTATGAATCCAGAGATTGCATGTCACAACAAAACTTGTTTCAACTGTTAGAAAAAAAGCCTATATAAAAAATTCTGCTCTATGCGGATAAAGGTCTGCCTCACAGATATGGTCTTCTGGCTTTGGTTTGTGTGCCTCTCTTTCCTTCGTGCTCACTTTACGTTTCCTGACTAGCGCTGGCATAGATGACCAATTTCTATTTAGTGCTGAGTATGAAAATGAAAGGAGACAACTTAGTTATGTAAACCTGCAAATATATAGTATGCACAAGGGAGCATTATTAGTATGTTAAAATTCTGAATATTCATAGTTAACGTTCTTGTCCAGTCTATAAAATATTTCATAAGATAAAATAGGTTTAGTACACACTTTTTTAATTAACACCTTCAGGACACACAATGGAATTTTTCATCATGCTGACCTTCTATCTCTGTGTACTTTTAAAACAGACTGAAGAAGAAAAGTAACTAGGATGCATTTACATTTTACACTGCTTGTCTGCATAAAGGAGATACATAACATTTTAATATACATATAAAATTATTTATACAGTTATGAATTGTAGTGCTCGTTTGAAGTGTACATAAAACATACCTTCTTTATTGGACAGCTGAAAAGACTGAGATCGAATCAAGGGAAGAGTGGTTCTCCGTTTAAGATTCATATCATCATAAGAAGAGAAGCAGCTAAACACAAAACAATGCATTTTAATAATGTACATATCAAGCAGAACAAACAATGTCATTCAAATAATGGATATTTAAACAAAATGTTACAGTGGACTTGAAAATTAACAAAAGGCAGTGTATTTTTCATTTTCTAAGTGGAAGTCACAGGAATGAAATGTATATCAGGATTAGGGTCAGAAATTATCTCCCTGAAAAGCCCGTTTTATTTGTAGGCTTTGATAACAAGTTTGTCCTCTTGGTTTGAAATAATCTGGGATTATTTAACAGTCATGTTTTAAACAAAGGACAGCTAACGCATTTGCATAAAAACAGAAGGCTGCAATCATACCTGTGCGACAGTTCAAATGGTCTAAGATATTGATATTAAATGGGATTGTGTAATAAAATTTGACTATTTTAATGCATTGCATAGATAATGCATTACAAATATATTTCCTAAAGGGCTTTCTTTTGGGGCACCAAGTAAAGGGTCTGTTTGCACTTGCAGGCAGTCTAATTTTAGTGCATAGGGACTGATCTTACCCCACAATCTTCCTGTCCAGCAGGGGATTATAGGAGCAGTCTCAATCAAATAGGGTGATAAGAATTGCTCAGAAACGGACAGCAGCCATACTATGGCTATCTGTTTAAACACAACAAAGTTCATGGTTTACTGAACTGGGCTGTGTTTTAGAGATTTGAATTATGTATGCTTAGTCCTCAACTTGACTCCGAACCTAAAGGGTTATTTACGAACGTGAGAATTTAGAGTGAATTTCAAATACAAGGCCAGAGTTGCTAAAATTGGTTGTTTTAACCTTAAACTCGATATTCACTTTGAATATGCCTTGAATTCTCACTTTAGTAAATAGCTCTGTTAGTGTCCACAAACACATACCAGCTGAAGGGATGAAAGCCTAGTGATCCTCCCTAATTCTGTAGTTCACCTAGAACCTTCTAGTGGTAAAGAAATGAAGACATCTTTAGAACTTACAAAGCAGATACTCCATTAGACACTCAACACCAAAACAACTTTAGCTGTATGAAGTCTTTTTTTAGCATAGATCATGGTTCTCAGTCGCATAAAAACCACTTTATTTATGTGAGCCATACCTCCCCTGGATGTGACTCACACACTTACTGAAAAAGTGTTTGAGAAAAAAAAAAAAAAAAAACAACACATTCTAAAATCCAAAGAGAATGTTGTTACTTCAACTCCTGCTCTGTTAAAGAAACAAAGTTTCAAAATCAAGATGCATATATAATCTTAGAGTGTTCCATTAGTGTTTAAATTCTGGAATAAAAGGGAATCATGACATGTCACACATGTCATGTGTGCTTAAGGGGTTAAGATTTAGGGGTAATCCTAGAATTAGAAAAAAAAACAAAGGCCAATCCAAAGCACTAAAATCAAAGCTACTATGAGGTGAGCATTAGCCAAATTCTGCATCATCTTTCCATGCACAATGATGCCAAACATGAAGACCATTGAATTTTGAAACTCTTAAAGAAGAAGTGATTTTTGTGGGAGTCAGTCTGACAGTCACTAGCAGTGTGGTCTCTTCAAACAAATGTAAACATTGCCTTTTCTCAGTAACTCAATATTTTACATTACACGAGAAAAGTAACAGCATCTAGTTCCTGAACTCTCTGATCTAAAACTGCTAGCTAAGTATCTCAACCAACATCCTGCAATACCATGGAAAAAGATTCCCTCATAGATCAAAGGACTAATCTGTGTGCACAGGGGGAATCAGATCAAATAAAATATTGAAGAGCAAGAAGCAAACCACATCTTCCTTCAACTACAGATAACTTTACACCACTGCACAAATAATTACACTTCCTATGGGTCTTTCCCTTTTAATAATCTCCTTCAGGTGCACATGCAATGCACCAGTAAATAAACCGTAAATAGATTTGTGGTTTCTTTTACTGCCTGCCTTCTGGGCAACCGGTTTTGAATGGCTTTCCACAATTCGTAAGCTCTGTCCTATACCCAAAACTTTTTAAAGTGAAAGCAAAAGTATATATATGCACACTCAATGCTTATCCTATTAAGAAAGCATTTAGCTCAGAAACCCACTCTGCCAGTAGCATGATAAAAAAAAGGGTTCAGCCAAGGGATTATGTGGTACAATATATAATACATGTAAGCTCATTGATCAGGGCCCTCAACCCCTCTGTTCCTGTGTGTATAACTTGTCTGGTTACAACTACATGTCTGTTCGTCCACCCATTGTAAAGCACTGCGAAATTTGACGGCGCTCTATAAATATCATAATAATAATAATATGTACACAGAAAACACTTTAGTAAGTGCCTTGCATATGGTAGTAAAACAGAAGAAACTACTTTACAGAGAACCATCATCAGGATGTGATATCAGAGTGGCATCTGCTGACCGTAAGACCGCATTAGCAAGAGCAAGATCTGCACAGTCACTGATATATAACAGTGGTATAAATAAGAAGCATGTATTCAGTGTTTAACAAACGGTCCTAATCAAAGATATATTCCCAAACACTACTAGAAGTAATGCGTGCAGGTCCATCATCACTTTGGTTGACAGTGACGTAAACTCCTTCTATAGCATATTAGAAAACATTCTTTACTAAGTGCAAAGCATGTTTTGGCATTAACTGACCATTTAGACGAAAGGCATCAATAGTTATACAAAACAGATTAAATGAGGCAACATTTCAATTCAGTTGTCAACCACTGTTAAATTAAAAGCATTCTTTGGATTTGTACTGAAAAACAATAGTAACTGTGGGAAAATTGTGTTTTACCTGAATTCAGTTATAATAATTACATCATTGTTTATCTTGCAGAAAAGGTCCTTACCGTTTTGGACTGGGGTAGTTATTGCTTTTAGGGATTTTGGAAAGGTACTCTTCATTGAAGTGAAATGTATTTCTACAGCGCTGCAGGCAAACCAACAACCCCAAGATAATGCACAAAACCAGAGACACTACTAGATAGCTCTGTCGATCAGACACCTGTAACACAAGGAAAAAGTCATAGTTATAAAGCATGTTTTTATTGCTTTGGGTCCAATGCAATGTTAAGCAGATAATCCACTTCTACAAATGGTTCTGTAGGGACATTCTGACAGAAAAACAAGACACTGCAGCTTATTGGATCAAAGTTTCAGTTTGACAATGCAAACTTTCTTCAGAACCTAATTAAAGTTTGTATAGTCAAACTGAAACATTGATCCAACAAACTGTATATTGTAATTTTTCTGTCAAGAAATCCCCAGAGTGCTGTTTTTTTGTGTGAAAGTATGTGTATGTTTATATAGAGAGAGATTCACATACAAACATACAGTTCATTCAGAAAGTATTCAGACGTTTTAATTTTATTTCACATTTTTAACCTTATGTAAAAATGCTCTTCTATAGATCATCTTTGAGACATAACTACAATTTGACTGGAGTCCACCTGTGGAAAATTCAACTGATTGGATAGGATTTGGAAAGGCACACTTGTTCGATAGAAGGTCATAGCTATAAATGGATATCAGACCAAAAACCAAACCATGAGGTCAAAGAAACTGCCTGCAGAGTTTAGGATTGTGTCGAGGCACAGATATGGGGAAGTTAAAAGACACACAAAAAAAATCCAGCCGATTGAAGTTCCCAAGAGCAGTGTGGCCACCATAATTCTTTAATGCGTGGTCAGCTGCTATAGCTGTCTCTCATGCCAAATTGAGCAATTGGGGGAGGAGAAGGACCTTGGTAAGATACATGAACAAGAACGTGTTGGTCACTCTGGGAAAAAGTTGCAGAAGAACAAACATCACTGCAACACTTCACCAATCCAGCCTTTATGGCAGGCTAGGCAGAAGGAAACCACATGTAACTTTAGCCTGCATGTAACTTTAAGACTGTGAGAAACAAGAAATCTGGTCAGATGAAATGAAGATTGAACAGTTTGGCTTCAATTTAAATCGTCATGTCTGGATGATACCAGGTACTACTCATCACCTGTGTATCCCAACGGCAAAATATGGTGATGGAAGCTTCCTGCCTTGGTGGTGTTTGTAGAGCCAGTGAATGAGAGACAGCTCAGGGTTAAGGTAAAGCTAAATGCAGCAAATTGCAGTGCACTCAGGATGTCAAACTGCGCTGAAAGTTCACATTTCAACAGGACAGTGACCCCCGAAGTACACAACAAGTCACTGCAAGAGTAGCTTAAGGACAACTCTGAATGTCCTTCAGTAGTCCAGCAAGAACCTGGATTTGACTCAAATCGAACATAGAAACATAGAATGTGACGGCAGATAAGAACCATTCGGCCCATCTAGTCTGCCCAATTTTCTAAATACTTTCATTAGTCCCTGGCCTTATATAGAAACATAGAATGTGATGGCAGATCTCTGGAGAGACTTGAAAATGGCCCATCCAACCTAGCAAAACTTGATCGGGTCTGCAGAGATGAAGGGCAAAACCTACCAAAATCCAGGCGTGCAAAGCTTGTTGCATTATAGCAAAAAAGACTTGAGGCTGTAAACATTGTCAAATGTGCTTCAAGTACTGAATACCTATTTCAATGTGATATCAGTTTTTTTGCTAAATATATTTGCAATGTAATAAAAAAAAAAAAAAATTCTGGGTTGCTTTGTCATTAAGGGGTAAGGAAAATCAAAACAAAAAATGTAAAATCGCTAAAAAAATTAAAGGTTCTGAATACACATACATATATGCATAGAAAGCATACATTTAAACATTGCCTTCATATTGTGACTAGTAGTGATGTCTGACAGCTACAAGACATGCATTTAGGTACTTAGGCCACAGCTGTCTATTTGAGTGACTGTATATACAAGTAGAAACCAGATGAATTCTGTGAACATATTTCTCTAAGCGCATTTAATGATCTGCCTTTAGTAAACAGACACAAAAAAACAATAAAGTGGTTTTCAAATGTTCATACCATTCTCTGAGATAACAGTAAACCTCGATATTTAGAGTGTACCACAGAATGACAGCACTTGCCTAAATATACAAATCGAATAGGTTTTAGAAATCTAGAATTAATTATTGCAGATGTTAGCAATCCTCCACCAAGCTCCATTGCACTAGTTTTCATGAATGCTTTAGAACATGTTCTGCTTCCTGGACACTGACTGATTTTTTTATCTGCTGTACGTTAGGGTTACTCCTCCAATTATGCCTTTAGATGGCGGTAGTATCTCTATGGGCTGCATTTCTGCTTGAAATGCTGTGAAAAGATATTTACACTGTTGTGCCAGGTGCACGTTACACCCATGGCACATGTGACTTGGCAGTCCAAAACGCTGTTCCTTGCAGGCAGTGATTGGACTACATGCTATTGATTGGATTACAGAGAGGGAGGCTGTGACCTCACACAGGCAGTGAAATTCAGCAAGGGGGTTTTGCCCAGCACTGGATTTCAGGTAACTTAATTTATTTCAAAGGGTCTAACTATATGAAATATTTTATGTCTCACGAAATAAGGGAAGCATATTTCACCATGATTCCAAAGACTGGAAAACCCCTTTTTGCCTATATGGCACAAAGTAAATATACGGATGAGAGAATCCCCCTAGGATCACAGTTAATATACCATACACTCGTAGCTTAGAGTAGAAGACAAGTTTACTATCTACCTGGGGCATGAGAAACCCAATAACTTAGGCCCACTAGGGCACATTGTATTTAAAAAATAAAAATAAAATAACTTTCGAAAAGTGCTTTTAAAGTTTTGCACATTAAGTTTTCAATTTGGTGAAAAAAAAAAATATTTGATGTGGTCGGGAAGCTTTGTATTGCAAGAAGATGGCAGATGTCGCTATTTACTTTCTCTAAATTATATAGTTTATTGTAACACTAGAGTGTAGATAAAGTCAAATGTGACATCCTGAATTTAAAACATCTCTATAAGTCAAGTAGGATATTTTAATGATCCGCATGAAGAATTCACACAAACATACAATCTAGTCAAATCAAAGTCAAGAAGAAGACATACCTCTCTTTTTAACTCATCTACCGTTGCCGAAAGATTTGAAACCAGTTGTGTCATATTCATTAACTGTGCTTGAAGTAATTGGATGGAATCTGTCTGCCTCTGATCCTAAATGGCAATGCATAAAAGAAGAAATTAATCCCATTTTTAACATTCACGTGTAAAAATGGGGACATGAAACATACATTTTCTTGTTATTTGACTATATAAACAGAACTTCTAATACTCTTTTAGAGATCATCCTCAATATGCATTCTTTTTGTTTTTTGCAGTGGCCAATTCTAAATGTAAAGGTGTTTCAATTTTGATTCATAGGGATTGCCCACTTGAACTATATGCCGCATGAAGCTCCCCTCGCCAAATTCCACGTCATCAGACATCATCAGTGCCCACTTGCGGTCCAATCAAATGCTTCTCATAGAGAAGCATTGGTTTGGATTGTTTCATTGGCACAGAGTGCATGCACATGGTTTTAAATTACAACAAGGGAGCTAAGATACACATGTCCATGGTAGGCACTGTACTGAAAGGAGTTGGTCATTATGACTATCGCTAGCATGCGGACGACAGGCATTATTTTTGCAAAGGATTTAAATTATGTCACCTGTGCCAGGGCGCAACTACCTCCCGGCACAAAAGTGCAATTATCTCTGGATGTGTAGCGTTTCAAGCAGAAAACGCCACCATGACGACAGATGTATTTTATGTACAGTATGGACATTAGGCAGCCCGGAAGAGACTTCTCGTCTTCCTAAGTCAAATGTACTGGGGGTGCAACTAGTGCCCGGTATAAAAGTGCAAACAACTTTGGATGTGCAGTGTTTCAATCATTAGGATATAAAAGACTGGTAGACTCTTCAATTATATATTTAAAAAACGAAACAAGAATTGCAATAACTTTGGAAACAACTCCAAGAAAACAAACAAAAAGGAATTTGAGTACTTTGCAAATATATACAATTTGAGTAACAACCAAATCAATAAATAAATATACCACAAGATGAAATAAGAGCATTACTATCACTAACCCAATTTCCTAAGCTGAATGAAGAAAAGCTGGATATTGTTTTAGCACTTATTTTAATAAAAGAAGTGGAAAAAGTGATTAAATCATTTGCAAATAATGCACCTGGCTTTAACGGGTTCTCAAATTACTATTACAAAATATTTCAATATATTCTCGCACACATACTGGCCAAAATATATTATCTTACATACTATATGAAATATTTTATGTCTCACGAAATATGGGAAGCATATTTCACCATGATTCCAAAGACTGGAAAACCCCTTTTTGCCTATATGGCACAAAGTAAATATACGGATGAGAGAATCCCCCTAGGATCACAGTTAATATACCATACACTCGTAGCTTAGAGTAGAAGACAAGTTTACTATCTACCTGGGGCATGAGAAACCCACAGAAGTGACAAGGCATATCATAGAGGTTTATAATGCTGTAAAAATTGGCTTGATAACAGGTAATCAGACTGTGTGTTAAATTTCACTCCTAAACTGTAATTACAGATTATACCATTTACATATATGGTGCAGATAAGATTGTGAAAATTAAACCATGGATTACCCACATTTTATATCAATAAAGGGATAGTTTGTTACCTGCTCTTCAGCAATTCTAGAATTGTTTTGAAGCTTTAATATAGTCTTGTTAAATGCTCTCTGCATTTCTTCCATTTGTTTCCGGTACCTTAAAATATAGTAAAAATTAATTTTTTTATTTAATTTTTAAATACATTAGACATGCCATTATGGCCTATCCCTTATTAACCCTAAAATAGAGCAGCTGGTTCTTGGTTCCCAATACTACCATTCTGCTGCAGTTTTCTAGTTCAGAAATTCACATGCCATATTTGTCTATCTTAATTTGGGACAGTTTTTGGGACTCACCATTAGTCCACCATTGCCGCCCAAAATTGGACACCCTGCAATGGTTTTGATGCTATGAGTGTCCCTTTAAGTGTGTGTATATAGGATTCCTCCTATTACGAACAGCGGCTGGTTGCACTCTTCAAAGACTTCTGGCAGAAACTGTGGCGCAGAGGGGTACAAACTTAAGGGTCGCAGAAGACGACTGACAAGCGGCGGCACCCACCTCCCAGTGGCCTGAAACACGAGGCGAGTGGGCCTCGGGGCACCCAACCAGCTCCCAAACCACAGAAAAGGGAAAGAAGAGAGATGGCCTGAAAGCCACATCCTGCACAGTGACGCCCACTGCTCGCTACTGCCCTTTGGGGCTAAGGGCCCGACACACGGGAGAACCAAGAGGCCTGCGCCCGAAGGGAACAGCTACTGCCATTAAGCAACAGCGACTCAAGAGAAGGCCCTCTCATGGAATTTACAGCATAGCCGCAGGGGCCACTTGGCCCCTCATCGATCAGAGTATCCAGCTGCGATGCTCCGCAGGCCTAAATAGACTACCCACAGGCCTCAACCATCCACCAACTGGTCGACTACCTCTAGCCTGCAGGTCTGTACAACGCCACTTTGGGGGACAACATTATACCAGCAGCTGGTGTGGGCTAAGTGACTCTCGAGATACTTAAGCTAACGGTCTTATATTGGTTAGACAGCCTAGTACAGTTAATTTTGCCAGTGTATTATTGTTTATGGTTTTGCCTAATAAACACCCCTAGCATGTGCTACATCCTGTGCTACATCCTCTACTATGACACACACTTTGCCAGTTGCCAGCATGATTTAATCTGCCCTAGCAATCACCAAGTCTATTAGTTCTACACCTACTAAAAAGGTGCTAATTATCACATACCTTACTACTGTTTACCATGTCAATATGATCAAATTTGCCACTGTGGTTGATTAGTATAATCTCCAAACTCATGCCGAATCCTGTTTTTGTTTTTTTTTAACCCCTCTCCGGCCTTCATTGACACCCTAGTCACCCCCAAATGCCCCTAAGCCCCCCACATTACCTATTTTTTATTCCTTATTTTCTGCCCCGATCTATATTCAGGGCGCCGCCATCTTTGTGTGGGTAGATAGACTGAGATTCCCGCACATGCCCAGTGAAACACATGGACATGCGAACGGGAATTTCGTCTATTCATTCATCAGACAGACGAATGAATGAATAGAAATATCAGCCGAACAAACTAACACTGAGTATCAGTGTTCGTTTGTTCGTGCAGTTTATTACAAGGAGGGAGCTACCGGCACACAGCTCCCTCCTTGTAATATGTAAAGATAGAAGCGGCAGGGAGCAGTGCTCCCCACCACTTCATAAGTCCCCCCAGGCCCCCCTCACTCTATGGGGGTCAATATGACCCCCATAATAGCACAAGGGAGATTAAAATCTCCCCAATGCCCCTACTCGCTATACTGCGAGTAGGGGCATGTCCACTAAACAGTGAGCAGCTACTGTAAAAAAAACAAAAAAAAACTATTGGCCCCTAAACGACGGGTGGGGGCCCTAAAGTAAAATAAGGGGGGAGACCTACTGCCCCCCACCCGCCGCCATATTGATAATGAGGGGGGAGGGATCTACTGTCCTACCCCACCCCCGGGCCCCACCCCTGGGCGGCGGGTGGGGGCCATATTGATAATGTGGGGGGAGGGACCTACTGTCCAACCCCCCCCTCCCCCCCGGACAGCGGGTGGGGGCCATAATGATAATGAGGGGGGGACCTACTGTCCTCCCCTCCCCCCACCCCTGGGCGGCGGGTGGGGGCCATAAAGATAATGGGGGGGGGAGAGGGGGGAGGTGGGGAAACCTACTGAAGCACACTTTGCTCCTCCGCTGGTCAGAGCTGGTCAAGCGGAGGAAACCTCCATAAGGCAAAGAGTCCCTACATTGTCTTATGATTTTAAAGAAAACTAAAGAAGACAGGAAGAAAAGAAGAACAGATCCTGAGAGAGGGGGAGAAGAGGAAGAGATTGAGGAAAGGTAAGTTCGGCATGACAGTGCCGCTTTAAGAGCTCTGTATAAGCCTGTGTCTAATCTCTTGCATCTTGCGATGTTTTTTGCATAGTTCCAGTTTTCTCTTATTACTTATATCATACAGTTACGTGCATGTCATTAATCGACTTATTTAATATAAAAAGTGGCTCACAATTTTCAGAGATGATATATATTGTGCTGTACTGCTCCCAACTTGTATGTATCTTTATCGTCACCCCTTCTTCATTCTGTACCCTTGCAACTTTATGACTCAATAAAAGAAAGATTTGAAAAAAAAAAAAAATAGAAATGTGGAATACAGGTATAAAGAGCAGAAGTGCGCGTGTGAAAGGTTTGAAGGATATCCCCCTCACCCAAGTGTAAATGTGTTCATTGTGCTAGTGAAATCAACAACTTACTGCTTAAAGGACCACTATAGTCACCCAGACCACTTCAGCTCAATGAAGTGGTCTGGGTGCCAGGTCCATCTAGGATTAACCCTGCCTGCTGTAAACATAGCAGTTTCATAGAAACTGCTATGTTTACTTTAGGGTTAATCCAGCCTCTAGTGGCTGTCTCACTGACAGCCGCTAGGGGCGCTTCTCACTGTGATTTTCACAGTGAGAAGACGCCAGCGTCCATAGGAAAGCATTGAGAATGCTTTCCTATGGACTGGCTGAATGCGCGTGGTGGGGGCACCCTCAGGGCACTATAGTACCAGGAAAACTAGTTTGTTTTCCTGGCACTATAGTGGTCCTTTAAGGCTGTACAAACCTGAGGTTTAATTTAAAAGCTTGTGCAACTAAATGCATGAGCACATGCTGAAATCCCACAAAGCTCATTGCAGAATTCTATGTGTATTGATGCAAGGCCACAAGAATAGAGGGATGTGACTAGTTGTAGGTGAAGATCACTGGATAGCATTGCTGTACTTTACACTTCTCTGTCTACAGTATAAATACATAAATGAACATGTTCTGAATATTTTATCCATATATGTACAAGCATTTTGAATGGGAGTATAGATTAACTGTTCTATACAAAGTGAAACAGTGTCATTTTTGAAAGGCGGATGCACAACAGACTCACCTTTGACTAAGTTCTTCCAAGTAACGGCTACTAAGAGACATATTTACTTCCAGAGCTTTAATGCGATTATTGAGACGCATAAAAACTGATTCTTTTTGGTTGGAACCATGTACTTGGTTCCCATTGGTGTAGCCTAAATCAGTAGAATTTTGTAGCTCCGCATAGAAATCTGTAGTAGCCCTGGGCAGGTTACCAGTGATGGTCACATCATCTGAAGCTTGCTCCTCTTCTTTTTTATCTACAGCAGGTGGACTCTCGATAGTTTGTGTTATTACAGGCTTTTGTGTTTCTTCAATTTCCCGATCCACCGGTAAAGTGTTTGTTTCTGGCGGTGGGATAGTCTCGGTTGCTTTAATAATGTTAGTGTAGTCAATATCGTCTTTAACAGGTATTTCAGGTACGTTTGTCAAAATATTTGTCTCCAAACTTACAGTTGGCTTTTCCGCATAAACCAAGGCCTCGCTTGTTTTAACTTCCTTAACTTGAGTTTGTAAGACTTCAGTAGAAAGTGGGTTGGCTGTGGAGCCTGCATCTATTTTGGTGGCTTCCAAAACTGGTGTAGTGGGTGTAGATGTCACATCTGATGTTAGATGCAAAATAACAGACTGAGACACTGCCTGTGTGTGGCTAGGTTCCAAGTCAATTGATTCAACGTCTTTATCCAACGTACTTGATGGTAAACTGCCATCAGGATAAACCAAAATAAAGTCAGTTGTTGCCATTTCTGCCATTTTGGTATCAGATGATTCTGAAACAGTTGTTACATGTAAAGAACTGATAATAGTTGTGCTTGCTATAGGTAACGGAGTGGACTGAGATTTACTATCTCCTCTTCTCTTGCACTCCACTGTTTTACTGCGTTGTCTGTGAATAGCCACAATAGCAGAACACCACTTAAAAATGTATTCTGAGAAACTTGAAATGCAGCAGATAGCTGTAAGTTCATTGCAGTAAATCTGGGTCTCTTGTTCAAACCAAGCCGTCTTTTCATCCTCTTGATCACCTTTTTCTAAAAGAATTACAGTTGACTGAACAGGCTGCTCTTCCTCCTCATCCTCTACCAACTGAACGATCGGATTCTCTTTTGGAGTCTCCAGCTCAGCAACAGATACTGAAGAAGAAGGTATATTCTCGCTTTCCAATCTGTAAAAGACCCACAAAATCTACATTTTAGTGCAAATATCTATTCAACATATAGCATTTTCATAATCAAGAACATGATATAACTAAGCTGAATGACCCAAAAAAATCAAGTGCAAATATGTTCAACAGAGCCACATACATACTTAATATTTTTTTGTCTTGATGGTTGATAAGAAAGGCAGTAGATGTCTTAACTGGTGTGCTATCAGTATGTTACCTACTCTTGACCCACAAATTTCAGAAACCAATTTGCCATAACATCAATATATAAAACAAAAGTGACATTTGAGCAATATTTGCAAAGGTTCCTTAATTAGGTCCTGCTGTTGGAGGTGTAAAAGTTTTTTTGACAGATTACCATTTTCTGCCAAGACTGCACACATTTGATTAGTCACTTGAGGGAGACACATAATTAATTGTTTAATAAAAAGTAAATTTAAAGTTGCATTCTGGATGTCTTGTACTGCTTGAGTAAGTTGGGATGCAAATCAAGACAACCAAATTAGAAATTGTACTCAAGAATTTAAATTACAAGGACACCATAAGCACAAAACAAATTTAGCTTAATGAAGCAGTTTAAGTGTATAGATTATTCCCCTGCAATGCAACTGCTAAATAGTCTGCCATTTTGGAGTTAAATCCCTTTGTTTATTCAGCCCTAGTCACAGCTGTCTTGCATGTTACATTTCCTGTAAAGATATATCTAATTTAAATCTATTGCACAATCTGTTTGGCTAAGAATTTTCATATCTCCTGCTCTGTTAATAGATTGTTAAAGCCTGCAGGACATTCCTGCATGTGATTAAAGGGCACCTGTCACATCCCAAATAACTTATGCTCATTATCTAGCAAATATATAATTAGGTGTGTGCTTCAGTATTATTTAAAAATATATTTTTCTCCTAGATATCAGTCAATACCTTGGTGTGCCGAGGCATTGACTGACAAGGGAGAGCAGAAAAGGTCTCCCACAGGAGGTCCCTCAGCTCTCAACCCATAGGAACTACAGCACACGGAAACTGCCTAGCCACGGCTAGGTATTATAAGAACGGAGTGACGATACATTACTCCATTCCAACGCAAGCATGCCGACATCACTGATAAGATTTACCCTGCCTATCCCAAGCAGGGTAAATCAAAGAAAATTGCAAGACTGCAGGCGGAGCACAGGACAGCCAGTAGCTGGATGTTACACAAAGAGTAACACACAAAGTGGTGTTGGAATGGATGAAAAGTATGTAAAACTTTTTTCTACACTGTATACAACATGCTTCTTTATGATATATGGTGTATTTAATGAATATGGAGATTTAAAGCAAGTTTTTTTTTTTCCATTACCGTTCACTTTGAAGTTCAATTAACAGAGCAGGAGATGATTTTTTATTTATTTTTTTTAAATCTAAAGGTTTATTTTCAGTCCGGTCATATTGCAGTGTGTTCACATTTTTTCATGTAGGCTGTGTCAATCAAAGGTGTGACTAGGATGCAATAAATAGAAACAAAATTGTTTTAAACCCTAAATGGCAGAAAAGCGAGCAGAACTGCATGGGCATGATCAATACACTAAAACAGCTTTATTAAGCTAAAGTTGTTTACAGTGCCTAAGGTATCCCTTTAATCGAGACAACTGGCTTCTCTCTTACAAACACCCGATTCTTCTAGGTTTCTCAAATTCTGACGCAACAGACACAGCAAACGTACAGTACAAGGCATTGCAAATAATAAGAGTACTTACGTTGGGGAGGGAGATGGTGTTTGTTCTGGTGGTTTTGCTGTACCTTCTTCTGGAATTTCAGCTGTCACATTTTTAGATTTGCTACCATTCAGTACTGGACATGAGGATGAGAAAACCATTTCAGACTTTACATTCATCATTGTCACTAACCCAAACCGAACAACATCCTTATTTCTATGGACATACAAGAAGCTACATACCAAAGCAAAAATAGCAATACTTTCAGCAATTGGGAACATAATTAGAATGACCACACAGTGCCTTTCACTGGGTAGGCTTACAGACATGGAATGACAGCAATACAGCCCTGCTGTGGACATTTTCAATCGGCAACTCTGAATAAAGGCTTAAAAGTAACCGAGCACAGATCAGAATCATAGCATCTGCTGCTTGCAATTATTATAACTTTGCATGGCTAATTAAACATTTGGCAAAATAGAAAGGTTTAAAAAATATTTTTAAAAAGTTTCTGCTGAACATTATTTTGAGAAGAAGAAAAAAAAAAATAGATGTCACCAGTTTAGGAGATTATAAATAAAACCTTTATAGAATTAGAAGACATCATAATCCGCTAACTAGATCCCAATATTATGCTGGAATCTAGAAAAAGATACTTTTTTCATCTTGCAAAGTACTTGGCATCACTAGATGGTGGGGCAAGGAAGAGTCATTGACTTTTTTATTGCTTTTGATCATTAGTAGATAAACAGGAAATAGCACATGCAATGATTGTATTTTATTAACTGTAGTTGGTTATTATATAACCACCTACATGGGACTGCGAGTCAGATTCCTCCTCTAGGGTACTAAGAGAGGGAAAATAGAGTAGTTTTTAGATACTCATTTTTTTTAAAGAAACTTAATTTGATAAACATAAGTTTTAAAGATATATGGAAAAACCTGAAAGAATAAGGTGGATTTGGATATCCAATAATACGATACGCGCTGAATAAGAATAACGAAGAAAGAAAAAGAAAACTCTTAAAGGGCACCTGTTATGCCCCCAACAACCTATTCTCGTTAGATTGAGCAGTTTTTCTAGGAAATGTATAGATTAGGAGAAAAACCTTTAACAAATAAATAAATACATTTTCTCCCATCTTTCAGTCAATGCGGAGACATGTTGAGGCATTGACTGACTTCCCACGGTATGTCCTTCTGCTCTCCTCCCATTGCAACCATAGCGCATGTGCTGTGTTTGTACCTGAAGCTCCCTGGCCGGCACTTCTGAAGGGAATATCAAATCTAGAATAGTGGCTTTTCAGCTGGCTGTCCTGAGAAATTTAATAGAATTTATTGATGCCAAACTATTGTACATTTATAAATTATATGGATCAAGCATTTTAAAAGCAGTGCAGCACACAAGCTTCTCTGCCAATAAGCTATTAAGAATAATAAAAAATAAAAAAATACCTTCTGTTTTACCTTTGATTTGAAGGTGGGAAAGAACATAACCGTTTAATTTTATGCCCTACACAAATCAACTATAGAAACATACAGGGTTATTCACTAAAGTGAGAATTCAAAGTGAATTCAAAGTAAAGTTCAAATTTAAGGACAAAAGTGCCAAACTGGACAAATTCTCCCAGTTTTGCTATTTTGGCCTTAAATTGGAAATTCACCTTGAATTCTCACTTCAGTGAATAACCCTATTAGTCTAAAATGAATACATATCCCCTTCCAAGTAAAACAAGGCTTTCTTTCTTCATTCCTATTCTCAGGGTACTAGAATTTAATTATAAAATATTATAAAGGTGCTACCTTTCCCTTCAGTGATTCCTTCCTCAGTATTCGCACCCAGCATATTAGCAGCAAGATTATTCACCATGCTAAGAATGGCATCTGAAGAGAATGCAGGGGAACACAAGCACACATTATTTTATCTGCAGTCATTTCCATGATCCTGCCACAAATTGCTGGAAAAGAAGCCATCTAGTAACTTATTTAACATTGAAAAGCACTCTCATTTGCACTGACTTGTAACGTTCAAGTTACGAACGTGCAGACAATAGATTTTTATTTTAGTATTTGGTTTTTTTTATTTGGAAAAAGCAGTTAAGTGCAGTAAATAAAATTGGTCTGATTAGCACAAACGTGAACAAGTTATTTTCTTCTAGCATACATGCATTGCCATCGACAACACTGGTTTAAGACTATTAAAATTTCATATATATATATTTTATTTTAATTAATAATTTCCTATTCCACCACTGTAGGGAGCTAAAAAAAAAACAACAAAAAAAAAAAAAACACAAAAACACTGGTCATACACATTTATACAATAGGTTAAAATGCACTATTGTACTTTAAATTCAGAATTGTGAGCACTGCTGCAGAATTGCAAAACGCATAAAATCAGTGTACAGTATAATTTGAGCCTAAACTATTCATGAGAAGATAACCCGAAATATTTGTGACTAAAATAAAAAGCTTCATAAAAAAACTAAAAAAACTTTGAGATGCAATTGTATCCATATTGTTAATTATTTGCCTTTGTAACAAATTAAAAAATGTCCTTTTTAAATTTTAAAAGATTTTATTTATTGAAACAAAAGCATTTATATGAAATACTAGTTGCTTGTGATAGTCTATGTAAACTCATTTTGAAGGGAAAGATGGACATGAAGGCAGAAAGAAGTCCAGTCAATGAGCAATAATAAACGGAGCCATTTAACACAACAGATGACATTCAGCAGCTTAGCTCAGAGCAACAACGCAAGATCCAACGTAGCAAAGAACAGCAGCAAGAATCACAAAGGCAAAGGGAGATAGTGTATTATTGTTTAAATGACTATTAATCTTATTTTCAATTCAACCAAATCTGTGGACAACATTTATGACGACGATGGCAAGTAATCAAATGCACACTCTGACTTGGACTCAAAAAGTGTGCAGTGAATTTATTTGCATTTGCCCACGTCCTATAACAAAGGTATTTCAAATAATACAATGCACATTGTTTTCTTGGACTTCAAGCTAGGCATTACGGGAGAGCACAGAAATGGCTTCATTAAACCACCCAGAAAAGATGCAGTAATGCATATAATCTTAAAACTGAAATGCTATATAGTCCATACATCTTTTAGCATGTAGAGATGTTATGTTCTTTAAAATGCTCCCCAGTCATGTTGTGTATTTTGTTGCAGAACAGGCGCATTTTAAAACTTCTAACAAAAAAAACTAAAAAGTATAGCTATAGGTCTGTGAGAGGTTTATTTCCTTATGCTCGTGCTACAATTGCTCTTTAGGTAACTCCTTCACACTTACTTGTCGCAGATCCAAGCAGATTTTTAGATGCTTTATCATCTCTATTGAAATCAATTGGGTAATCTACAAATTAAAAAAAAAAAAAAAAAAATAAGATTTTGATTTCATTCAGAAAAGTGAGAGCTCATGAGGATGACAGATGATGCTGGAAGAATTACAAACATTCTATTAAATCTAAATAATTTGACAAGTGGTGGGAGAATAGTTTGTGAAAGGAACACTGTAGCGTAAGGAATACAAATGTGTATTCCTACACGTATAGTGCCCTAGTCACCAATTAGAGCCCTGTTCCGCCTGCCGTGAGATTTAAACGTTTACTCCTCGAGTTACCTTACCTTGCAACCCAAGTCATGTTGCTTTGTCAACAGCTGTCCCGTGTCATTGGCTGAGTTCATAGCGATCGATTATTTCGGCAAACCAGTGCCTTCTCATAGGAATGCAATGAGGAGTGCACCACTAGGGCAGGTTAACCCTGGAAAGAAAACTGCCATTCCTGCAGATTGTTTTCAAGGGTTAAAACCAAGGGGCACAAGACATCCAGACCACGTCAATGAGATGAACTTGTCTGGGTAGAATCCCTTTAACCCCTTAAGGACACATGACATGCGTGACATGTCATGATTTCCTTTTATTCCAGAAGTTTGGTCCTTAAGGGGTTAAAACCTTTAGGAAGGTGAAAAAAACACACCATTTGTCATGTTTGTTTAGTGGTATGTGAATTAAAGGACCACTATAGTGCCAGGAAAACATACTCGTTTTCCTGGCACTATAGTGCCCTGAGGGTGCCCCCAACTTACCTTTTTCCAGCGCTGGGCGGAGAGCTCTCCTCCTCCTCTCCGCCTCCGTTACGCCCCGCCGGCTGAAGGCGCACGCGCGGCAAGAGCTGCGCGCGCATTCAGCCGGTCTCATAGGAAAGCATTTATAATGCTTTCCTATGGACGCTGGCGTGCTCTCACTGTGATTTTCACAGTGAGAAGCACGCAAGCGCCTCTAGTGGCCGTCAATGAGACAGCCACTAGAGGATTAGGGGGAAGGCTTAACCCATTCATAATTATAGCAGTTTCTCTGAAACTGCTATAATTATGAAAAAATGGGTTAACCCTAGAAGGACCTGGCACCCAGACCACTTCATTAAGCTGAAGTGGTCTGGGTGCCTAGAGTGGTCCTTTAAGAAATTTTGTGAATAAAGATAAAACAAGCAAAAACCAAGCAGAACACTACACCCCCTTCGAATATGTATACATATCTATTTCAATTAATTTACCAGACTATAAACAGACTATAAACAAAGGCAAAGCCAAAATCAAAAATAAAGGTAATTTTAGGCAAGACAAAATAAATAAATCCAGATCTGCTATTTAAAGAAACTCTGTGTCAGTAACACAACTATGTATTCCTGACACAGTTGTCCTGAAGTGGCTGTTTAGGTTACCGGTCACCCCTCTTTGCAGTAAAGATGATTTCACTCAACTTTCCGGTCATACAATGGAGGTCTCATACCGCCTACATGGCATGGCTGAGATCATCGATCTTTATGATAACAGCCAATCCAATGCTTTCCCATAGCAGGCTAATAATGTGCCAATCTGCAGCTCCTCATAGAGATGCATTGAATTAGGGGAACGTTCAATGTCTCCATGCGAAGTGTGGAGACACTGAAAGCCAGTACTGAAAACTGTGCTGCACTGGACTAGGACGCACCTCTAGTGACCATTTAAGTGACTGCCACTGCAGGTGTTACTAACCAGCAATGTAAACACTGCCCTTTTCTCTGAAAAGGCAGTGCTTACAGTGCCAACACTGCAGGCACATGCTATAGACACCAGAACCACTACATGACGCTGTAGTGATTTTGGTTACTATAGTGTCCCTTTAAGTCTAAATTTTCCAATTCAAGTTTTCAGCTTAAAGGGACACTCCAGTGCCCAAATATAAATAGAAAATAAAATTATTAAATAGATATACCCCAAATAAAGTGCCTTTATTTAATAATGCATTTTTTTCATTAGAGTATATCTAAAACAGCTTGCAAAAGCTGCAGTTCGCTTGTGTGAATGGTCAAACCTTCCTCTTCTAACTCTGAAGATGTGCAATCACAGGCTTCACACGCAGCTCAATGTGAAATCTTTGCAAGGCAGATGCTGTGAGCAATTACCTGCCTCTTAAAGGAACATAAACATGTATTCCTGACGCTATAGTGTTACAACCCCCACCTCTCCTTAGAAAGTGTTAAACTGTTTCTCATTTCCAAGCTCCCCATGGAGCTGCAGGGAAAGCACTGGATTGGCTGAGATCACAAAGTAAGCGTGTCATCACGGGGCCAAACACCATCCTGGCCAATCAGCATCTTCTCATAGAGATTCACTGAATCTGTGCATCTATACGAGGAAAGTTCAGCATCTCCATGAAGAGCAGAGAGAGGCTGAACAGCAGTGCTGCGTCCCAGGAAGCACTTCTCGTAGTCATATGAGGAGTGGCCACTGGAGATGTCCCAAGGCTGTAAAATAAACACTGCCTTTTCTCTGAAAAGACAGTTTACTGCAAAAAAGCCTGCAGTGACTGACTATACTCCCCAGAAAAACTACAATAAGCTGTAGTTCTGGTGACTATAATGTCCCTTTAAGTAAAAGGACTTGTCTGCATGAAAGCCAGGAGGTATAACAAAATTTACTTATAAAATTTTAAATTTCTATTAAAATCTGCAAAATAGATAATAAATGCATTTTAAAAAACTATAACACTTTTCAGACAAAGATTTTTGGCAAGGTAAAGTGCTTTAGAGGTCTGGAGTGTACCTTTAACTGTTACTAAATAAATCCAAGATAATTTTACTGCACTGAAAAGCACAAGTAACAAAATAGGCTACCTTCATCCTCATCGTAAAGGTCAGGCCGCTCAGATTGGTACTGTGAGTCAACTATTTCTTCATACTCTTCCACCATGCTGGTACCAAAAACCCTAGAAGAAAAATTGAAGGATAAAAAATTATTTTTAATGTACAAGAGTGTAGAAAGGTTTTGAAAAGAATCTTTTTTGGAAAGAAAAGCAGATTTTCTGTTCATTAAAATAACATCAAGCTAATCAGAAATACAGTGTAAACATTGTTAATATTGAAAATTACTAAAGCTGGAAACAATGGATTTTTAATGGAATACACACATAGGTGTACAGAGGCCTATTATCAGACACCATCTGTTCTGTGCTCCAATGGCAAGTTTGTTTGCTAATCCGAGTTTATAATTTACACCCCGTTACAAATTATTATGCAAATTCTATTTAAGTGTCACAAAGATTCAATATTTTGTTTTTCAGTTTAACTCATGGATGGCAAGTGTCTCAGGGCTCTTGATCACTGAAAACAATCTCGGACACCTGTGATAATTAGATTGCCAGGTGAGCCCAATTTAAGGAAAAACTACTAAAGAGGGTGTACCACATTATTAAGCAGAGCACCATTTTCATGCAATAGGGGGAAGAAAAAGGATCTCTCTGCTGCCGAAAAGAGTGAAATAGTTCAATGCCTTGGACAAGGTATGAAAACATTGGATATTTCACGAAAACTTAAGCGTGATCATCGCACTATTAAGAGATTTGTGGCTAATTCAGAGCACAGACGGGTTCGTGCAGATAAAGACACATTGAGGAAGATTTCTGCCAGATCAATACATCGGATCAAGAGAGCAGCTGCTAAAATACCATTACATAGCAGCAAACAGATATTTGAAGCTGCTGGTGCCTCTGGAGTCCCACGGACATCAAGATGTAGAGTCCTCCAGAGTCTTGCAACTGTGCATAAACCTTCTGTTCAGCCACAACTAACCAATGTTCACAAGCAGAAATGGCTGCATTAGGGAAAAAAAAAACACATGAAGACTAATTTTCAAACAGTCCTGTTCACTGATGAGTGCCGTGCAACCCTGGATGGTCCAGATGGATGGAGTAGTGGATGGCTGGTTCCAACATGGCTGGTTCCAACAAGGCTGCGACATCAGCAAGGCGGTGGTGGAGTCATGTTTTGGGCCGGAATCATGGGAAGAGAGCCGGTCGGCCCCTTTAAGGTCCCCGAAGGTGTAAAGATTACCTCTGCAAAGTATGTGGAGTTTCTGACTGACCACTTTCTTCCCTGGTACAGAAGGAAGAACTATGCTTTCCGTAACAAATTCATGCATGACAATGCACCATCTCATGCTGCAAAGAATACCTCTGCATCAATAGCTGCTATGGGGATAAAAGGAGAGAAAGTCATGGTGTGGCCCCCATCCTCCCCTGACCTCAATCCTATTGAGAACCTTTGGAGCATCCTCAAGCAAAAGATCTATGAGGGTGGGAGGCAGTTTACATCCAAACAGCAGCTCTGGGAGGCTATTCTGACATCTTGCAAACAAATTCGAGCAGAAACTGTCCAAAAACTCACAAGTTCAATGGATGCAAGACTTGTGAAGCGGCTATAAAATAAGGGGTCCTATGTTAAAATGTAATGTGACCTGTTAAAATGTTTAAAAAGTTAAAATGTTGTTATAAGTTTGATTGAAATAGCTTTTGATTTCAGTAAATATGCTGCAAACAACAAATGACAATTTTCAGTTCTTTACAACCTATAAAGTGTTTTGAAACTTACTGTGCATAATAATTTGGAACAGTGCATTGTAAGTTTATGTTTAAAAAAATACTGTTATCATTAGGTTTGTTCAATAAAAGTTGAATTGTACTCTCAATAATTGATAACATGAGAATTATGCTGTTATTTACATCAATTATTTAGGTAAATGAGAAAGCTATAATTTGGAACAGGGTGTATAATAAAAGGGCATCAGCAATTGTGGGTTTGATTACAAGATCAAGATGGCCAGAAACTTTCTTCTGAAACTCAGTCTATTCTTGTTGTAAGAAATGAAGGCTATTTCATGCAAGAAAATGCCAACAAACTAAAGATCTCATACAATGCTTTGTAAAACTCCCTTCAATAAATAGTGCAAGCTGGCTCTAACCAGAACAGAAAGGAGTGGGAGGCCCTGGTACGTAAGAATTTGCACAAGTCAGCAAAAGGACAAATACATTATCATTTCTAGTTTGATAAAAAGAGGTCTCACAGTTCCTCAACTGGCAGCTTCATAAAAAGTGACCGAAAAACACCAGTCTTAACGTAAACAGTTAAAAGGAAACTCCTAGATTCTTGCCTTCTAGGCAGAGTTGCGGGGAAAACAAACAAAATTGGCCATATCTTCAACATGACAATAAAAGGAAAATGTTGAGATGGACAAAGAACACAGACTCTGGACAGAGGAAGACTGGGGGAAAGTGATCTTGACAGACAAATCTAAGTTTGATGTGTTTGGATCACAAAGAACATTCGTAAGACACAGACCGAATGAAAAGATGCTGGTGGCAATGTGATGGTCTGGATGTACATTGCTGGTGGCAATGTGAGAGATTATTACAGAGTAAGAGGGACTTTGAAGAAATAATGCTGTCACTTCACGTAGCAACACCATGACATACCTTGTGGATAGAGCTTAATTGGAGCCAATTTACTCCTACAACAGGACAACGACCCAAAGCATAAGTTCACACTATGCAAGAACGATTTAGGAAGAAGGCAGTTAGTTGCCATTTTGTCTTTAATCTAGTGGCCAGCACAGTTACCACATCTCAAACCTCAAACTATTGTGTGAGCAGCTTGACCATATGGTACGGGAGAAGTACCCATCAAGTCAATCCAACTTGTGGGAGGTGCTTCAGGAAGCATGGGGTGAAAGCTCTTCAAATTACCTCACCAAATTGGCATCTAGAAAGTCAAAGGTCTACAAAGCTGTAATTGCTGCACATGGAGGATTCTTTGACAAAAGCAAGGTTTGAAGGACACCAATATTACATAAAAAATTATTTGTAACCTTTCAAGCACTAGATCTTCCTATTCAAACTCATTTCATGGAAATAAGGATACTTCTGGGTGATCTCACACGTTTGACCATCAATATATATAGTATTTTAAAAATTGGCCATTAAAAGAGCGTTATAATTTATAATTAAACTGCATTTCAGTTTAAACAAAATACAATAATGAGAATACAACACAAAATTTAAAATATAGAATGTTTCAAATATAAAATGGCAGGAATAAAACCATTTTTAAACTGTACATTTTTTTTTTTTATTCTGGGGTCCACTGGGTGCCGCTCCCAGCCATCACTGCAATTTCCTGAGAGCATTAAGTTCCTCAGTAGGAACTTCCATTAGTTCTCCAGAGCTCCATTGGCTGAAACCAATCAGTGTGAAAACTGAATCAAGCAGCGTGCTTAAAATTGGCGGTTTAAGTTCTAACATATAAAGGTTGCAGACGCTCCAATGTAAACTATTTTAACTGAAGGATAACCACCAAGAAGTGGAGAAAAAAAAATAGCATTTGTTCCCCAATTAGACTTTTGTCACTTCAAGATAAGTAATTTGTTTAAAGGGATTTCATTCTAGAATACTAAATTCAATGGTCAGCTTAAACGTGTTTCAGAGAAAGGGCAGTGTTTACATTGCCCCTAGTGACACATCCAAATAGCCACTCCTCAGATGGCCACTGGAGGTGCATCCTGGGGTAGTGCTGCACAGTAGGCAACACTGCCATTCAGAGTCTCCACACACTGCATGGGGACGCTGAATTTTCCTCATGATTCAATGCATCTCTATGAGGAGGTGCTGATTGTCTGGCCCTGCCCCCTTGCCGATTTTATCCAAAAATGCCCATGGGGAAAGCATTGGATTGGCTAAAAACCCTGCAATTCTGATGTCACCAAGGAGGTGGGGCCAGTGCCGGCAGACCCGCGCAGCGCTGGAAATAAGGCGAGTTTTAATTGCATTTAAGGGGGATAAGTGGGAGGGGGACAAGCCAGCTAAATGGTGGGTTTAGCACTATAGGGTCAGGAATACATGTTTGTGTTCCTGTTCCTTTAAGTAGGGCCTTTCCTCCCTCTTCTGTTTATCTGAACTCTATATACACAAATAAAGCCTATTTTTCAAGACATTATCTGTACAGGTTGGACAACTAAACACAACCATCTAAGGTGAATAGATGATCAGCAAGTTAAACTGTATTTTTCTCAGAAGTATTTAGAATATGAGGAAAAAAACCTTTCAGCAAATAAAGTATATTGCAAAAACTAAGCAATGCAATTCAAAGGTTGTTTTTCAGTTTCCTCATTCATACATATTTACATGACCTGAATAAATCGCAAAACATCTGGTGCAATCCAGTTCCAGAGATGAAGACTGATTTTATAAAGTGAATAAAACAAGCTCGCAAACTCGAATAAGGTTATTTATTAACATGAGAATTGCAAGGAATTCAAAGTGAATTAAAGGAGATTTTCATAATTTAGGCAAAATTATTTCAGTTCAACTGCTCTAGCCTTAAACTTGAAATCAACTTTGAATTCCTACCAAATCTCACTTTAGTAAATATTCCTGTAAGGCTTAAAACACATTTAACAAAACGCGAGTAAAGTATGAACAGAATAAACAATAGAACAGTTTAACTTAGATTTTTCTGATAAGCAGGCTGTTTTTAAAGTAATATATAAATGTGACTCCAAGCCACACAACCATTACAGCCCCTTTAGTGGTTATTATGCCAGGAGTACCCCGAACCCGTTTCCCTGTAACATGGAAAACCATTTTGAAATGGATTGCCCCCTTACCTGGGTCCTGCAGGTTGGCCCTCCACTCCTGGTTTTGATAACATCCAGTGTTGCAAAGGCTGGATGCCAATCAGCTGACTGCTCAACAATTAAATACAACTTCATGCATAAAAATATGCACAGAATTGACATAAGCCAGCAAGGAACTCTTGTTCTTGGCTGGCTAATGACACACCAATAACACTGCAGACAAGGAGCTACACCTCCGGCAGCAAAGGATCTGAGCAGCATTTCATAGCAAAACGATAACACATTTTTTACTGTGCCTTAAAGGAACACTATAGGGTCAGGAACACAAACATGTATCCCGCCCCCCCCCTCCTTAGCCCCCTTAAAAGGAATTAAAAGTCACCTGATTTCCAGTGCTGTGCAGGTCTGCCGGCGCTGACCTCGCCCCCTTGGTGACATCAAAATAGCAGATTTGTAGCCAATCCTTTTAAAAAGATTGACTAAAATTGGCACTGAGCCAGGAAGCACCTTCAGTGGCCATCTGAGGGGTGGCCACTTGGAAGTGTCTCTAGGGGAAATGTAAACACTGCCTTTTCATGAAAATGCCTGCATATAATGATTATACTCACCAGAACAACTACATTAAGCAGTAGTTGTTCTGGTGACTATAGTGTCCCTTTAAACTGAATCTGTCATTTACAAATTGAACTAGCTTAATTTACAAACGTCATAGAATGTACAGGATCTGTAAGATCCAAATAGCCAAGAATAAACCAACGGTTCCAAACTTTCTTGTAATAGCCATCTCCCTGGGATCAGTGCCGATAGTGTGTACTCAAACTTTGTTAAATGTAAAGGCACAAAGCCAAATCTATAGCTGTACTTTCATTACTGCTTCACTTAATATACAAATGTAAGTCAAAAAGGCAGAAGTAGTTAGTAAAATTAGAAGGGGAAAAAAGCTGATATCAAAATACATGCTAGTAGGAGTCACTGAAATATCTATTTAATAGTAAATAAGGAGCATTTTTGTGTCTGTAATAGAAAGTGTGCACAAAATCATTTGACAAAGGATATTTCCTATACGTATGTAAATGCATTTTTACAGAGTAAATGAGCTGGAAAAGCCACCATAAATTGGTCATCCATGAAACTAGTTGCTCCATCTAAAAGTTTTTATTTATATAATGCTTTATTTTCAGACAGTTTAGAAAGAATGATAGGTGAGATGCAAGTATAAACATAACATTTTTGATTCTACGCTTCACAGCCTGCATAGAACTGAATGAGTAAATACTTTGCTATAACTGCAAATCTATACATTGGCCCTCATTTAAAACTAATCGAGAATGCCACATCATGTCTGAGAGATCATCTTTAATGATGTTGAGATGTGTGTCCAAAATTACTGAAATGCTAGGCAGTGTGCCATAGGGGGACCATCAGAAATTATAATAAGCAATGTGGGTGAATGTTTTAAAAGTGTAGCAATCACCATGGAAACAAATGCCACAGATTTATTGATTTAATTTTTTTCTTTTTATGAGCCATCATGCCAGGGACCCCAGGTGTTTTTTACAAGAATTGTAATCCAAACAGATGGAGGATAATGATGGGTCACCTTAAACCCAATACACAGTTGTAACAAAAAATGGTTTATGATCATAGAGAGGACTTCCTTATTACCTTATGAGGCTCAACGGGCAGAAGTGTTCCGATCCAAAATGTGAAATAAGCTCCACCTGAGGAAGAGAAGACAGGCTGAAACAGAAAGCTTGCATGCAGCTTTGCAGTGATTTTCAATTAATTGCACCTACAAGCCAGTACAGATTTGCCCATATACTAAATCTCACAGCTTTTCTTGCCATGCATTAATTAGCTGCACATGAAACATTCAGAGAGGTTTGCTAACCTTTATGTACTTGATGAACATCTGAAGCAAAAAAAGGAACAAGGAAAGAAAAAAGAAAAAAGTGTCAGTACAGAAATAAGACACATGCGACAAGCCATATCATCTAAAGAATCAGCATTTAAAAAGGCTCATTAGGAGTAAAAGCAAGAATGATCAAAAGATGTTGAAGAACTACAACTCCTAAATGCTTTGCTATGCTCAAGGCCAGAAAAACATCACGGGAAGCTCTACAATCATCTTGATCTGGTTTGCCTGTTTTTTTTTTTTGCTTTTTTCTTTAAGTATATAAAGTTGTAGCATTTTACTCTTATTTCCACATGCTTTAAGAAGTATTTTGCCAACAGTAACTCAGCCAGCTGAATCAGGATTTATTATTGCATTGGTTTAGTAACACCAGGAAGGGGAAGCATTACTGAAGTAGAACTCAAGTGCAAAACATACATTGTGCAGTTTACGGACCTCTAGAAAGGGTTTAATTCCGTTTAGCCATTGTCAATATCAAGACCTCAGAACAGATAGGTTAACATATTATACCAGATGGCATCCAGTCAAATGATAAGTCTAAGTTTATTGTTTTTACTACAAATGCATACAACTTCCATGTACATTAATTCTCTTCCAAAATGGAGTGAGAGGGTTGTATGGTGTTATACATCATATTCACTCCACATTCATTTACTTAATGTGCAATTGCAAACCCTTTTTTCTGAAATGTTCTATTCCCTTGTCAGTCCTCTACAAATAATAGTTTAGCGAGTGAACATATTTCAGAACCGCTTTTTGGGCGCCTTCAGAGCAAGAGCCCAAAGGCGACCTCTCCGGCAAGAGTTCGAGGTAGGGGAACATCCCTCGGAAGCGTCCTTAAAGTCCCCCTCCAGCGACTTTGAGGCGTGAGGAGTGGAAGAGTGGTTGAGGTGGGACACTGAGCCCACCCCGCCAATATTGCTGGCCATCCAAGGGCCCCATACCTTCTCGAATGTCTTCATAGTGCCCGTCACCTGGGCAGTCAGCTTATCCATGAGACAAGTATCCTTGATATTTTTTTGGACTACTGCTTCAACTGAAGGCGTCTCCCTCTGAAACCAAACTTGTGCCAATGCCCTTCTGGCAGCTAAATTTAATTTGTGTAAAAGTTTTTGATCCAATTTCGTCCATTCATCTAAGAGTCTAGCCAACAGAAACACCCAAGGGTCTAACTGAACATCTCAACCATCCTTCAGCAAATCTGTCATTTGTATCCAATACTGTGGCTCTCCTGGACATTCCCACCACATGTGGATATAAATCCCCTTCTGTCCGCACCCTCTCCAACACAAATCTGTGGGGATTTTATGCATTCTGCATAAATTTAACAGGGGTGGTGTACCATCTGAACACTGTCTTCTACGACTGTTCCTGCAAAGTGATGCATATGGATAAAGATGCATTTGCTTCCCAAATTTCCTGCCACTAACGTTTCACATAAATCAACTTTCCACTGGTCAACCTATGTTAGCTTCCCCCATTCTGAAGTATTGGTGCTAAGGTGGGCATATAAAGCACTAATCAAGCCTCTTGGGAACGGTTCTCTAATACACATTGTTTCGAAAAAAGTTAGTTGCTTTATAGCTGTCTTTTTAACCTGAGCATCCTGAGCGTAACCCTAGAGTTGTATATATCGGAAAAAATCTGATGGTTTTAGGGCAGTCCAAACAAATAATCAGATATCTAAGGGAACACCGCTTAGGATCTGTGTACCAGTAAAGACACTCCAGCTATGTCTGCAGGGCTCAACCCTATACATTATGAATAAAAGGAAACAAAATAATTTGTAGTCACTCAAACCACAACAAAGTGGGTGAGTGAAAGCTGGATAGTAGGCAAGTATCTTGTTTAAATAACTTCAGTTTAGCTGGACCAAAAACAAATGGAAAAAAACAAAAACAAAAACAAAAACACACACACACACACCCCTACACCTACACCTTATAAGGCTTCCCCACCAACTCATAATGGGAGTATAGGGTCATCCATTAAATTGCTTAAACTAGTGGTAGCTTTATTAAACTGCTTGTTTTAGCCCAGGATTTTCCCTATCTGGAATTGTGCTCCTGATATTCGGATCTGTGCCCTAACATTGGTGCACATGGCTCGAATTGCAGTTATATATGGAGTGGGGATGCCGATATGTGCCAACAATTCAAACAAATATGACCATTTGACCCTGTCAAACGTCTTCTCGGAACCGAGTGACCGGACCAGCGATGGCATTTTAGTGTTAACCTGCCTCCATATGATATCCACATTACGTCTGGTGTTTTTAAATAATTGTCTGCCTGGAACTAATCCTACCTGATACGCGTGGATCACGCGCAGTAGCATGGGATTTAATCTATTTGCGAGAATCTTTGCTAGGAGTTTGAAGTCATGGTTTATAAGTGAACCTGCAAACTTTTGACCTATTTCTGAGTTATCCTTGCCTGGTTTTGACAATAAGACTATATCCGCCAGGGACATGTCCCCCTTCCATAAAGATGTTAAACCAGGACTCCAAATGGGGCGACAATTCCTCACAAAACATTTTATAATAGCTCCCATTGAAGCCATCGGGGCCAGTAGCTTTATTACCTTTTAGGGAAGAGATGGCTAAATTAATTTCTTCAGGAGAGAACCGTTTCCGCAGAGTAGCGGAATCTGTCCCCACCAACTTTGGGAGATCTAGCTGGCTTAGGAAATCCCTGATAGTATCAGCTTCCATCCGCACATTAACAGAGTCAGGGCTAGTGTGGTTATACAATTTCACATAATGCGGAAATACCCTTGCTATATTAACTGGGTCGTGTGGTAGGCCCCCCGAAGAATCCTTGATTTTCATGATGTGCGTTTTCCTTTGTCTCGCGGATCAACTGATAACCACTTTATGAGCTGCCCAGGCCGTCGCAGGTGAAGGATCGTGCACAGTGTTCCTAGAGAATTACTTGTTTATCTCATGACGTATGGTGGTGACTATCTCTGGGTCCCTAAGTAAGGAGTTATTCAATTTCCAAGACCAAGGGGCTGCTACACACAGTTTATCCAGCATCAAAGTGATGTCAGCGTGCAGACATCACCTACTGCAGACCCTGACACTCAGGACAAAACAAGGGAGTTTACCAAAAAAAAAAAAAAAAAATCAATCCTTGAGTAAGTATCATGTGGTGCTGAGTAAAAGGAGTAATCAGGATGGTGAGCTCTCCAGACATCTAGGAAGCCAGACTGTTGCATTAACGTATGTAGCAGTTTATCATGTCTTCCCCTACCATGTGAGCGGGTAAGCCCGCGGCACAAGCTCCTATATAAAAAAAATAATCAATTTTGCATCATTACTGCATTTGTTCAACAATTGGAAACATTTAAAAGAAAACTATAAGGTCAGGAACCCAAGCATGTATACCAATTCTATAGTGTTAAAATGACCATCTAGCCCTTTGGTCCCCCTAAATATAGTAAAATCTTACCTCTATTGCTGATGGCTCCCCTTAACTACCTGCTTGGCTGACATAATCAGAAGTGATTCTCTGAGCTAATCACAATGCTTTCCCATAGGATTGGCTGAGACTGTTAAGGAGGCAGATCAGGGGCAGAGCCAGCACAATCCAAAAACAGCCCTGGCCAATCAGCATCTCCTGAGAGATCCATTGAATCAACTAATCTCTATGAGGAAAGTTCAGTGTCTCCATGCAGAGAGTGGAGACACTGAATGGCAGTGATGTACACTGTGCAGCACTGCCCCTGCAAACACCTCTAGTAGCAATATTAGGAGTGGCCAGTGGCGATATCCCTAGGCTGTAATTTAAACACAGCATTTTCTCTGAAAATACAGTGTTTACTGCAAAAATCCTGAAGGGAATGAATATACTCACCAGAACAAATACAATAAGTTGTAATTGTTCTGTTGACTATAGTGTCACTTTAATTTGTTTCCAGATGCTGGGTCCATCATTTAGCAATATTTTGGCCTACTAATTACATTATTTTAGAGCAACACTATTTCAGTTATACTAGGCAGAACATATTCTTTTAAATTATTCAGTATAGTGTATGCTAAATACATAGATACAAACAAAACCATTTAACAAATATATCCCTATAGGTTTAATTAGCATGTACTGACTCTCTGAAATCAAAGATCTTGGAAACTAACTGAATAGAAAGATAATTTTGCTAAACACTGAAACAGTGATCAATCCAAGCCTATCCCAGTGATTATCAATCAGATCTACAAAATTCTCAACGCAATTGACAATTGCTATACAAGGCTGTGGCGCTTACTGCACAAATTGTTAATATTTATTCTGGCTTAAAGGACCACTATAGGCACCCAGACCACTTCAGCTTAATGAAGTGGTCTGGGTGCCAGGTCCAGCTAGGATTAACCCTTTCTTCTATAAACATAGCAGTTTCAGAGAAACTGCTATGTTTATAATAGGGTTAATCCAGCCTCTAGTGGCTGTCTCATTGACAGCCGCTAGAGGCGCATCCGTGCATCTCACTGTGATTTTCACAGTGAGAAGACACCAGCGTACATAGGAAAGCATGACGACGACAAGGAGGAGGAGGAGGAGAGTCTACCGCCCGGCGCTGGAAAAAAAGGTAAATTTAACCCCTTCCACCCCTGGTCCTTTAATAGTGCAGACTGGAAAAGAAGGACAGACTCATTACTTTCCAGGCATGCAACAATGTTAAGAAACCAAAGCAGAAAAAAGTTGGACGTATAAGTGAAAAATAAATTGGCATATATTTAAAAAAAAAATATATATGTTTAAAACAAAAAACAAAATAAAACACTTTTTTCATCTTCTTCAGTCAAACAAATTGGTAGTCTTAGCCACAGTTTGCCAGCATTCAAACCATTAGTGTCACTGTATATATCAGACACCTAGTTTTAGTGTACTATTACTTGTCTAACAGTAAGAAAAATTAAGAACTACCAAGAACCACCGCTCCTCTTTACAATGCTTTTTTCCCCTGTATAAAAAGATACCGATTCTTTTGAATTAAGTTTGCAAGTAGTGAAAGCCATCAACTTTGAAAGACCCCTTCAGTCTGCACATAGGACATACAACAAAATGAAGCAAACTAAAAAGGTATGTTCCAAACTGGTAACAAGCATGCATCCTGCACACAGTCTGGTTTCATCGTAGTACATGTGTGGCAAGTGGAGCTTGGACTACCACTGTGCTACACAATGTCACACCGTGCAGCACTCTTGTTTAACATTTCTTTAGAAAAAAAAATCTAATTTAGTTGACGTTCTTTTTTGGGCTTATGTGAACAGGCTGGTCTTAGGTGTTGCTTGAAGTGTCAATAAGTTCTGTCTTTGGGGAAATCCATCATGGAAAAACACAAACGTATGCACATAGGTTGAAAATAGTGTTCTGAATTAGAACTTGGTTATGAAACCCTTACACTTTGATATTCTAGTATTAAATATGGTGCCAGTTTGTTTTAGCATTACACTCCATATTCATTAACAATATATGTGAAATTGAAGGATGCATTGTGTGCTTGAATTCCTGATAAGGGTCATTTGAGGAACCCTTGACCTCCAGAAGCAGTATAGAATAAGCGCATAGTCTTATGATTTTTGGAATGCCAACAACCAAAAATGCTTGAACAGTGAAACAAATCAGGATTCAATTCACAAGTCCAAGGAAATAAAGATGGAAGAATTCTTCCCCCATAACAACTTAAGCTCATAAAAGTTATGAGAGCAGGAACATCTGGGACCCTTCTTAATTTTGGCACATGGGCACTTGACTCCCAGCTTCCTTTCATCTCTGCACTGTGGTATGATGTTGGTTTGGCCAAGCAGCTGGTGGTGGGCTAAAAGCACCAGCTAACAGTCTTTATCTTTGAATGGGCACGCTTTACAAAAAATAATTCTAATTCTCTCAGTTTTAGTTAGTTGTGTGCACTCTTCAAAGTTCTTTTTGAACTTTCCTCTCAGTCTTAAATGTGAGATAATCTAGGAGGCTACACTTTTAGAGTGACCAAACATCTTTCAGAAATAACTAGAAAAAATGTTGAGTGCCAGTCTACATGAAGCAGGGAACATATCTATCAGTGACGACTACAGGTCTGAAACTCTTAATCGATAGTCATAGAAACGCCTTTCTAAATATCTTCTATTTGCATATATCATTGAAAGGGCAATCAATTGCAAGTTATCAATTAAAAACATTGCTGCATGTGTAAAGCATAAAATGACAACATTTTGCTTGATTATAAAAAGGCAGCTAATGTTAAAAAAAAAAAGAAAGAAAAAAAAAAGTCTAATAGAAGCAACTCCTGTGTTAAGATGTTGGGTTCTATTTAAAGGCTCTTCACCTGCCCATTTTCTGTATTTACAGAATCCAGGACAGGCTTCTTCTGTCACCCAAAAATGTGCCTATACAAATAAACTTGTAAACTGAGACAGGCATGGCTGCACGCACTTATACAGGACTCTCAAAAGGGCAGAACATGGTCCAAATCAAGTAACTATCAGGTCTTCTTTAGTAAGACACACAAGCATTTCTGATCAAGGAAAAATTAATTAATCCCAGTGAACGATTAAGTGACCAGCATAAGAACGGAGACCACTAAAAATATGACTTAACAGGGGGTAAATCTTAGTTGTGGAGATATTTATTAAGTTATGAGCTAGCATTTTAAAAATAGTGGTTAAAAAGTCCACAATGGCATTTATATTTGCTACAGATAGCAGGTGCTTTGTGGCAGTTATTAGCTTGGACATGAGTTCCTTCTTTTTGGAAGAAAGTAACTGATGACTAAAGCAGAGCATCATCACAGACAGCCTATTGGTAGATGTTTATGGATGTGCTCAGGACTCCCATTGAAAATACTGCAATTGCAATGTCAACCAACCCGGAGTCTGAGACGCTAGTCCCTGGATGGCACAAAACAGGACAAGTCCAAAGGTAATTATTTTTTTTTAATGCATTATCTATATGATGCAATTAAAAAAAATGGAGTCAAATCCAGCCAAGAGATACACTGCTTAATCATAAAAAAGAAAAAAAAAAACTATTTCAAATATTTTAATTATTAAAACATTTCTATTTATTTCTCCATTCTATGTTCTATAGTGAATGATCATCCTCAACATTTTAAAATAAAGTGAACCTCAAAGATGTCTTGGGAATTAGGTACATGAAAACCGCAAAACCAGCCACATGGTACAAAAAAGTTAAAAAGCAGAACTGTATATGCAAATCACCTCCTACATGTGGCTGTTTTTAAACAGAAATGTAATTACCTTGTAACACCAGAAATTGTGTTCCACTCTGCATCCACCAAGACACAATGGTTAGCATTATGACTCTCTGGAGAGTAAGCGCTTGGTGCTACTATTTAGCAAATATCTACTGTTAAGGAAACCGAGTCACGTATGCAAGTTATACATATACCAAACATGGTTTTATTTTTTGTTTAGTGTGTGTATTTTGTACTACAGTCTGCATCAGTTTACTACACTACAGAATATTGTTTATGGCAGAAGGTTGAACACAGACATGTGCGCACACATTAAACTAAAAGCTACAAAATACATAGGCAATGTAACTAACAGCACGTTGAGTGGTGAACATGGCTAAACATTACTGATGGCAAAATGCAAAGTAAAACAAACTACAACTCTGTATAGCAGCAACTAAGCAGAAGCATTAAACAAAAACTAGAGAAGTTTAGAAAAGAAACGTGCTACCAAGATTAGAATTCAGACTTATTAATTTTCTATAGCGAGAGAAAGAAAGCAGAAAAAAAAAAAATAAATAATCATTGCAGATGGTTTCCCTATTGAGGCCCTGAGCCAGAACAAAATGAGTAAAAAGTGATGGATAACCTGGGCGTTTATGAAATACATCTCACAAATACAGTTGTAAATATACAGCTATTTAAGTTAAAGTAATTGCATATTTAGATGGCGAATTGATGAATTTAACATGGCAAACATTGGGCAAGGTTTACCATGAATACAGGGAAACAACTAATTTATTGGGCTTATAAAAACCTTATGTATGTGCGTGTGTGAGACAGAACATAATTTCTCAACATATTCGCAGAGTTTATTACTGTTTTTATAGACATAATATAGCATGAAGATTATAGAAAGCAATTTATGGCCAGAGTCACAAACAGATTTTCCATAAACAAGTGGAAGGGGAGCCATTGAGGTAAGAAAAATATATTGGTAGATCTTAATTTTTTTTGTAAACCTGTTCACAGCATGTTATGAACAACTAATTACATAGGAAAATGGCTGCAGAGATTCAAGGCTAATTCCCTAGCACATGCCAGTAAGGAAGCAGCTTTGGGTCTGGGAGCGTTAAGGAGGTAGCGATCTAAAAGCACATTTAAATTTTAGGAGGATGCCATGCATAGCACTTATAAATTACACTGCGGTTTGTGAGCCTGATTTGATGGAATATTTAAGATTATTTTATGCAGTTTATAATGTACAGAGTATAAACCGATTATTAAGAGGGAACACTCCAAGTGCAACAACGTATTCTCAATTTTGCTTAGACCTACAGAAATTTGCAAGCCTTACTAGTCTCCTGACCAATTACTTGTAAAGAGGTTACGCCTCCTCTGACAGACTATTACAGCTCCTTGTGAACCAGCCTATGCAGAGATCACATCCAATAGGAGTTTTCAGAATCCTAATAGCAGCTGCAGTGTAGTTGCTATCAGCTTTGGTAGCTGTTCCATGCATCTTAACTGTATAATAAAAATTCAGTCTAGTGGTAAACATGTCCAATAAAACACTAAAGAGGCAGGGTTATAGGCCTCCTGCTTAGCAAAAGCTGCAAAGTCCAAGTATATCTTTATTTGATTGCATTAATGTTAATGGATTAATAAAATATGGAAATCTTCGGTCATTTAAACTCTGCAATTTGAGGCTACTCACTCCAGAAGCTAAAAACCAGTAAAATAATTTTAGAATATTTTTTGCAGTATATGAATGGCTGGCAGTGTCACAGATTCAGTAGCTATTGAAAGCATATCTTCAAGTATCTATAATCAAGATGTTTTGACACTGTTGGCTTTAACTTGGTCTACAAAATTTCAGGCCTACTCTGTTAAATTACCAAGGTCACATAGAAAACAAATACCTTGACGTATTTTGCATACATCTGCTCATCCAGCGGGAAGCTCTGCACTGTTCTTTCATCTCTTGCGTGAAATGTACCCAGCTTTACCCACTTATTAGTTGGATACCTAAAATGTTAAAAGGAAGCAATTTTTCTGTGAATGTTTAAAATAGGTTATCCATAACTTAAAGATTTTAATCATAACTGGTGTTTGTGCTAAAAAATAGTGGTATTTCAAGTAACATTCCATTAGTTTTTATTATTTAGTAGATATATCCACAAAAACATGCATGTATTTATTTCTCTGCAAGTTTTTTTGGTGGGATATGAGCGAAGAAAAAAACTTCCAAAAAGCTGTCACCCTGCCTTTGCAAGCCCTCCCCCCTCTATCCCAGGCACAGAACCCTCTGTGCTTGATCCAAGAGTGTGGTTTACTATGGTTTTCCAAAGTTTCTCAATGAGCAGGCATGCTCAAGCTTCTAGCCTCTCCAGTGCATCTGCCACTTCCACTAATGAAAGAAGAAACCCTCCATGGATATCTGAGTGACAGCCAAGGAGGTGAAACTGCCCCAATTATAAAAGTGCAGATTTCTTCTAAAATCTGCTCTGTTTTTAAGTGTCAATAGTCTTAGAGCTTGACAAAGACCTCTTAGCAGGTCAAAACGTTGCTGCTCCTTTTTGTTGTTCTATTAAAACTGCCTGCGGCTTGAACACCTTGAGTGCCTGGAGAATTTCTTGTGTAGTCTTGGTCTTTAAACACAAAGAAATTCAGCAAGCTGGAGTGCTTAATGTGTCTGGAGTATTCTTTTAACAAATTGATGCGATAATTAAATGCATGTGCTCTTTCGCCCCTAAGCCTCCAGAGAGCCATAGCAAATCACTTGAAGGAACACAAAACACCAAAGAGTAGCAAAAGCAAAATAAAATTTAAAAAAAATCTTTAGTAGATACAACCCCCACTTTAGGTTTTTTTCTTCTCATTAGGAAGACTGACTGTCCATTGTGCAGGCACATACTACAAAAGCAGTGAGAAAGGACACTGGTGTGAGATTGGGTCTGTAGAGAGCAATGTGGGAGAAGGCCTGCTACTTTCATTAGTCCATGAGAGCTACCATAAAAAGGAGAAAACCAAAACAAAAAAAACAAAAAACTTCCCAGCAGTTTGAGAGCCAGGGAGGTGTTTCACAATGTATTTATAAATGTGCTGATTTCCCATTTAAAAAAAAAAAAATAAAAATACACTTTTCTAATGTGCAATTAAAATTGGATTCTATTTGCGTGTTGAGTGGTCCTTTAAGACAAAAATAGACTTGGATGAAATGAATCAACAAAATAGATATCTGCATTAAAGCAGCTCTATCACTTTTGAAATTTATATAAAATAGAATCTTTCGATATATACATAATCAACTGTGTTAAGATTTGATGGGAATTTTAACAAAACCAAAATACATCATAAAACAAAATAAGATTAACTTTGTCTTATGGTAAAAGCCTGATAACAAAAGGCATAGATCTCACACTTCAACACTGGGACAGCAACAGACACAAGAACAAACTAGCCGAACAAATCTCTCTAGCACTACCCATTGAGGCACTTTCCACCCTCATTCTAGATTTTAATTTTTAAAATATGACAAACGTGGTATCATCTCCTTATATCACCTGGTACACAGTCAAACTCCCAAAAAATTAAAAATTTTCGAATTTACAACTGAACTCTTGAATACATAAACATATGTAGAACGAAAATGATGGACAACAGCCGTCGGATGCAGAAAAATAATCTGCTTAAAACAAAAATCTCCAGTAAAACTCATCTAAGTTTTGTATGCGTCAGAATACAGTCGCTCACCCGATGAACAAATTCCCTACGTACAAAAGTGGGAAAACGGCTTGAAAGTCACATTTAATGACTCCCAACGGAAAACAATACTTCAAGCCCACAAACACCTGACACGCTGCCACTCCCATGTGGAGCTATCCAGGAAAATACTATACTGTTTGTATAATGTTTGCAAATACTGTGAAACATGGATATCATCGTTCACATTACGAGATTTGCCCAGTTGAGGAATATAAGTAAATTGGTCACTTGGATGCAGTGTCTTATAAAAACTGCAGATACATAAACCAAAAGGAGTTACGTGTTTGCAGTCTATCATATGACAATTTCATATGTGAACAACAATAATTCAAGAGGCATTGCATACATGATCCTCGTCCATTTAAAAATGTAGTGACATTTAAAAATGTAGTGACATTTAAACCTATTTTAAATTATAAAACAATGATTGTCAAGTTTGTAACAAAGCTTATAAAATACCTGTCACTAATAGAAACCAGAAAATCCTTTGGTGTGGAGGAGAACAGTTCATAGTTTGCAATGTCCAACTGTTTCACCTGGATGGGTTCACACAGTTCTATAACAAGCCTGAGGGGGGAAATAAATAAAGTTTAAAACAAGAGTTTAAATCTATATATAGTATGTTCTATATTATGCTCTAAAGTGAAACTAGTTTTTAATAACTAAAGCAATAGAAGAACAGAGTTATTAAACAAAACATGCAAAATAAATAAACCATTAGGAATGCATGAATGAAAAATTCAGTAACAAAAACAAACACACAATCACATACAGAACACACACCAACTGATTTTCAACCACTTACCAAATTTTTGCGCTGCAGGGATTTAACATATACAGATCCATATTTTCTATTAATATTGCAGATGTGCTCTAGAATAGATTATAAAAAAACAGATGGTTGAAAATGACTTTAAATAGTTTTTTTTTTTTTTTTTTTAGTATTTTTAAAATTCTTTATTTTTGCATGACCGTCATCATATTGCAATAGTTGTACAACATTAGTGTGCATCATAATAAACAGCCATTATGCTGTGTCATGTTTGTTTCAACAGTAAAGTACAACTTAACGTGCCATGTTACATGTTAATGGCCATTCCTTTTTAGATATCAAAAAAAGTGTCTTTTTTGGGGGTAAGGTAACTATATATATATATCAAAGAAGCATGGACATATCGATATATGCTGTGCCCATGACACATCGGTAACTGTATAGTGATTACTGGCATTTCAAATTTTTTTGAAGTTGCCACCGGTAGGCACAAACATGGTGTCCAGGCCCCCAAAAATAGTTGCTATAAGAAAAAGGAAAGAGAGAAAGAAGAAAGGATAGAAGACAGTATTAGAGGGGTCTTTTGATCATGGTTCTAGTTTTGATGGTTTGTATGGGGAATGGGGAGGTGATAAGAGCAGAGTGAGCGGTCAGTGTCTAAGTAGAGGGTCACCTATACATTGTTCTCCTGTTTCTCATTCTACTTATGTCCCTAAAAGTAGGGTTGGTGCCTCCCTCTCTTCCTGCCTCATATCAATCCGCCAGTGTACAGTTATCCCAAGGCTCCCAGACTTTTTAAAATGTATTTATTGATCCCCTTACGCTAGCTGTCAGATTGTCCATGAGGTGAGTTTTTCAGATTCTGGTTAATACTACTGTAGTAGTCGGGACATCCTGTTTTAGCCATAAGAATGGTACTGCTCTTCGAGCAGCCAAGGTGATTTTATGTATGAGGTTTTTGTCCATGTCTGGTCCATCCCTCTAGTGACCTATTTAATAAATACACCCATGGATCAAGATCCGGGGCCCTGTGGAACACCTGCACCAATAGATCCCTGACTGTACCCCAGAATCTTTTTATGAGTGGGTAGTCCAACCACATATGACAAAAGATGTACCCTTCATACCACACCCCCTTCAGCATTCATGAGTCGGAACTTTATTCATTCTGTACAATTTTACCGGTGTGGTTTACCATTGGAGCATTGTCTTAAAGGATTATTCCTGAAGTGTCACGCATATGGAAGTGGTATTACTAGTCTCCCAAATCTCCTGCCACTCTAGGTCCTCTAGTTCTTCACCTAAATCTTTTTCAAATTTGTTTTATAAAAGTTCAATATGTCTAAACTCTTCAGCAAAAATACAGTAATGCTGACAAATATTTTGTAGTGACAAGTAAGCAATTTAATAATTAGCAGGAGCATGAAACATAGGTTGATGTTGTATATGTCAATCCTATAGCTGGTTGTATCAGGATTATTCAAATTATTCACTGAAGTGAGAACTGTTGGGGATAATAAATTAATTTTCACTACTTACTGCACTAATTCAGACTGGGATCTCAATGCCAAGTTATCAAATTTAGAATTTTCAGAAAATGCTGAAATATTATAAATTTTCTGTGTATTATTCAGAGAGGTTTGCTGATGAAATGCCCAGGATGGAGCTACCTGAAGCAGTGTATAAATATTATACTTTAAAAGGGACACTCCAGGCACCCAGACCACTTCTGCCCATTGGAGTGGTCTGGGTGCCAACTCCCACTACTCTTAACCCTGACACTGTAATTATTGCAGTTTTTTTATAAACTGCAATAATTACCTTGCAGGGTTAACTCCTCCTCTAGTGGCTGTCTAGTAGACAGCCACTAGAGGGCACTTCCTGATTCATAGCAAAGATTTTCTTTGCTAGAGCGTCGCTGGACATCCTCACGCTGTGTGAGGACCTCCAGCGTCGCACAATTCCCCATAGGAAAGCACTGAAAATCTTTTTCAATGCTTTCCTATGGGGAGACCTAATGCGTGTGCGCGGCATTGCCGCGCATGTGCATTAGGTTTCCTCAGTCGGCGGGTGGGATCAGTCTCGCCCACCGGCTGACGTAATTACTGGGAGGAGCGACGCCGACCTGAAACCACCGCCGAGGGACATCAGCGGGGTCTCAGGTTAGTGACCTGAAGGGGTTGTCACCCCTTCAGCTACCTTTGATGGGAGGTGGAAGGGAGAGGGTATCTGCAGTGCCAGGAAAACAGGTTGTTTTCCTGGCACTGGAGTTTCCCTTTAAGGATGAACACCATGAGGATACATGGGATTTTAACTACAGTCAGTGGGCCTGGTAACAAAATTAAATGTAGACGCAGTTGTAGTTGGATATACTAATGTGTTAGCCTTTTTAGAGATAAAACGCATAAACTGTGTTTTTTTACTACTTGGATTTATTTTATATACACTTATTTTGTTAAATAAAGTAGTATTTTTTTTTCTAAAACCTCTTATGGACTTGCCCCATATCTTTTCTGCTGAAGCCATGATACATTTCTCCTTGGTGTGGAGCATACCAAATAAGTGCTGTGTATTGAGCAGCACCATATTTTTGCTCTCCCTCTTTCATAAAGTCTTCCGCAAGGAAATATATCATCTTGAGTTAACCTGCCTACAAGAAGTCACCATGAACCTTAGCACTTTATTAAAGAGACCAACCATCCTTAGGCGGGGATCACGCTGACGTGGCGCTACTCGAGCTCTATAATTGGTAAGTGCACTTCTTACTCTGAACTATTTTATACAGAATATACACTATATTTTGTGGTCTTCTTTTTCTTTGATATATCAAACAACCACTGAGACTACTTCTACCTCAGAGGCCCTACCTTCCCCTACCATATGCATTTTCTTTTGGACCGGAACAGAGATACTCTAGTTTGAGTGTTAGTGCTGCCTTCAACTATGTGCTAGAATCCTATATTGTAAAAATAAAATTAGATGTGTTGGCACGGATTTTAAACATTCTGTCCGCTTTGTGTCAAATTACCTTGGCTTCAGGGTTTGCAGACAGTATTTTTGCGCCACACTCCACCGAAGCATAATTATTTCTGTTTTTTTGAACCTTCACAGAGTGTTGTCCTCCATTTGAAGATGTATGCATGATCTGGCCTATGGGGGGAGAAAAATATATTCCTATATATGGATTGATGTAATATATATTTACCAAGATAAACAAGAAAAATAATGTGGGGGTTTTCTTCACAATTACCTTGTAACTTGCATGTACACACACTGTTCAATGTTGCAATGGATATTTAGAAACATAAACTAGTATATACATGGATAAACAAACAAAATATCATGGAAGCTAACAAAGCAATGCACTCTCTCTAAGGATACAACCGCTCCAAGCTGCTGGAGGGGCCTCAGGATGAGAAACACCAGGAAAGGAGATTACGAGAATGGATTCCAAAGAGCAGATCTCAGGAGGTAGGTTGGCTGGATGGAAAATTAATCTTGGGTATGTGATAAATAGAATGAACGCAAGTTATTAAATTATGATTACACTTTAAGTTTACTAGCAGACAGATTACCGTTTCGGGGCCATGTGAAACTATCATCTGACGTTCATCCAGCTCTTGGTATGCCTTTTGTTATTAATATCTACAGCAGACTAAAACATGAAGGTCAAATAGAAAGGCTTCTGAGCACAGATCAAATGTAAAATATGTTAAAGATAGATTGTGTTTCAAGATCAGTCTACTTCTGACTCAACTGAAATTAAAAAGGGAATAAAATAAAAAAAAACAGAAGACAGAAAATTGTATGGAGCAGTCTGAGGTTGCAGACCTGCATTCATACTGAAACATGAATATAGAATTTTTTCCTGCAAATAGTTACGTGATAAATGAGAACAAGACGTATGCAAGAGGAAAAAAAAAAAAAAGTGTTAGGATGACGTGAGTTCGAATAGACATGTTTATTCATTATTTGTATCAGTTTACATATTACTTCTTTGCAAGACGAGTTTATTAGCTTTAAACAATAAACCAAAGTGACTTGCATGCATAAAATTTAAAATGTTACAATGCAAACACCCATGTTTATGGTATAGAAGACATTCCAAAAAGTAACAAATGCAAAGGTCAAAGAATATTCACATATTCAAAGTTAACAAATGATATGAAACTATGAATAAATACAAGGGTTATAAATACACTTGAAAAAAAAAAAAAAAACATCTGGTAGATAACACAAAGAAACAAAACACTTAAATACTTAAATACTTCTGAGCCAATAAGGGGTGCCCTTTATGAAGGAATACCATCATTTTTGACATTATACATTTTAAAAAAAAATTCGAACACTGCACAGCTGCAATCTTGCAGGATAAAAATAAAATAAAAAATGCATCCGTTTGCGATATGCATTCCACTTGTAAATGCAATGGCCTCTTCCAGTATGTCATTGCTGCCTTCTCGCGTATGACACGTGTCTCAGTCCTTCATGCTCAGCACTTGACGTCACCGTTGTATGTGGGTTGATTATAAAACAATGCACGCACCACAAAAACACGTGTCATACTCATGCGCAAGAATGAAAAATCTGCAGGACATGCATGATGCTCAAAATGAAAACAAATCTCAGCCACCTACAGGTACATGCAAAAGCTGCAGATTTATAGAAGTTAGTGAGATTCAGATGAGTAACCTTCACATTCCATTTAAGACTCTAAAATTATCTAACAATTTAGTTAAGAGACATATGGGGTGTCCATGTATGAATATGCTCAATCCAACACTAAGATAAAATAAATGAGACAAACACACACAAAATCTTCAATATCAACAAATATGAATAGGATCTAATACCCAGGGGTATTGAAAATCTGCCAATAAAATAATGATATCACCGCAAGCAGACATTGAGAATAACATAACCCTGATGAAGTCCTGACGGGACGAAACGCATTAGATTTGACTGTACAGTTGCAATTTGCTTTTTTTTTTTTACTGTTTATTTCCCCACTAGCTCGACATCAACTCCTCATAAAGAGATCTATTTCCATGTGGTCCACTTGCAATGGAGATACCCCTGTTTTTCTTATACTCTTGCGGCTGAGTATTCAAGCAAGACAAGCTTGAATTAATTTCTACGTTGTGAGTACATTTCCATCACATTTCCCTTTGTAGGTCTCAAACCATACTAAACTATATACAGTCTGTTGTATATCTATAGCTGTTTAACGACATTCCAGTGTGTAGAATCTGTTCCCCATCCTGTTTGCATTTAGTTGACACATTTTCAATACCCTGGTTTTTCTATATACTGTATTTTGTATTAGATCCCCCCAACTATTCATATTTGTTCACTTTTGTCTGGTGTTTGTTGTGAGGCAACACTGAGTAGGGTTTTCGATAATTTACTTTAATTTGTAGTGGTACTTTTTTTTGATTTACAAAACCTTCAATATTACTTACCACGTGAATGCATGAAGTTTCTGTACACATCTGTTATATAAAACATTTTGCTTTGATGTATAATGCTTACGCTCACGCACATATAAAGCGTGGTATCGGTGGACCAATGTTCTGTCGGCTACAAAAACTTACTTTTTTCTTTTTCAACTTCCATTACTTGTTTCTTCCACTCATCAAATGTTGGAATGTCAACAGGGTCCTTTTGGCTCCCAGAAGCTGCAGGGTCAACTCCAGAGGTGTCCTTTTGGTCAAGTTTCTGCAAATGCCACAAACATAAAACATATTAAGGAACAATATATTAAATGCAAAATCCATTCACTGCACAAGAAGTCAACATTTTCTCAGCAATTTCCAACCCCAGTATATTAATCATGGATCAAAAGAACCAAAAAGCTAGAACCACCTAACATTTAAAATTGCCAAAGAGAGTTGCTACTGTACTCTTTATAGGATACCATGACCTAATAGCCATTTATGCAACTGAATCTATAGAACAAGAATAAAATGTATTTTAAACTACGGTACTTTCTAAACATATAATGTAAAAACAATATTATTGTGTGCGCCAGTGTTCTGTGTGTAACTATTAGGTGTGTATTATATTTTAATTTCGTGACCTTGCGATTAACTTAAATATCATGGTCTACAAGTTTCATTTTGAATTTAAAATCAATAGAAATTACTTCATTGAAGCAGGGGTACGTAGGAATTGTTTTTAGATCTGTAGAGTCTCTGTAGAGAGGTTGATAAAACTTGTCTATATAAATAAATAGAGACAAATAATTGCTCGGTCATCAAAAGCCGCAGGACTGGTTTAGGAAGCAAACATGTCTCATTGCCAAACCACATGCATTGCCGGTGGATTCTGAAAATTAGTTCTAATTATATTATTCTTTAATTCAAATTCACATCTCTGCAAGTTTGCCTAGTCTACTATGTAGTAAATAGCAACATTCAGACATTTCAGTTTGTTCTTGTTCCCCCTCAACATTTTTTTTCCTATAATGCTAACACAGACATAGAGCTGGCTGCATGACTTCAGTCAACTTAAAAGCAATAAGAGAAACACTATTGAGGGGGAAAGATCAAATAACATAAGAATGGAGGAGACTATAAATCACGGTGTTGCACGCACTGTCAAAGCCATCATACAGCCTTTTTGAATTTGAGTTCTGCAGAAACAGGTTCTATTAACCTCTTCAGGACCAGCAACAAGCATGAACGATTTACTTAGCCCTGGATCTGAAGGGGTTAAATATAAAAACTATGTTATTAAACTTTCAAACAGTAATACCTGCGTTTTATACAGAAGATCAAACACTTAGCACTTGTATGTTTACACCAGGGGTGGGGTACCTCCAGAAGTTTTGGACTACTTCTCCCATAATGCTCTTACAGCCCTAGTGCTGGCAAAGCATCAAGGGAGATTTAGTCTACAACATCTGGAGGGCCAAAGGTTCCCCACCCCTGGTTTACACTATGCCTCGGGTGGAGTAGTAAAGGATACAGTAAAGAGTTAACAGAAAACAGTGATACTTCACCCTTGGGCCTGGGTGTACTATTTTAGCTGAAATCACATTTTAAAAATGTTGCTTTGAGGACATGAACCTTCTCTGGTGCTGTGCTTAGGAGAGAGTATCACAAATCTGGATCCTAAACATTGTGAGTCTAGCTACAGCTACAGTTAGAATGTAAATACTTGGATTTCCTGATTTGAGGGGGTATGGAACCAACGGCATACCCAAAGCACATAAAGCAACCTATTTCAGTTGCATTAAAGTCTACCTGTCATACCAAACATGATTTGCTGGGGTCACTTTAAAGAGCATAACATTTAATCTACATATTGTGCTACCCTAACTGCTAACATACATATGACTGAAAGGCTATTTAACTATATTTGAATTTAGCCTTTTAACTGCTATGTAATTTGCACACCATCAGAATAGCAGTAAAGATACTAAAGTTGGAATTCTGAAGGGGCTGGGAACTCAGTCCCCTCACCTCCAAGAGATAAAGCACTATACCACATAGCACCAGTTCCATCTACTTGATCCGCGGTTAGTTGGGGGGGAGGGGAGGGGAGGGAATCAAGTAGATGGAGCACATGGACAATGTTCTATTAACTACAACACCATCATTGGTTTCAATACATTGGCTTAATGGAACGTGCTAAGCCCCAAAACAACTTTAGTTTAATGAAGCAATTTTGGTGTCTAGATCAGGTCCATGCTCTATAGATTTATTGGCTTTTTCCCCCAATACAGTATATTGATGGCCACTATGCCTTTATAAATGTGATCTTTTATCAACTCAATATGTGAATGACCGGTTAAATTTACAAAGAGTGTCCCTAAAATCCACAGATACAGATCAGGCAGACAGATCATTACTGTGTCAGTGGGCACAGGCTAGATGCATACAAGTAGAATCATCAAGCAAACATTTAGTAACCAGATGCAGTTATGAAGCATACAGTAGGTATTTTTCTGTTCAGGCTATGTAGCTATTTAATTTTATTAGAGTGACTATTTTATGTTGGCAAACACTGATTTATGTCTGTTGAGAAATTACTTAACCCAACTGTCCTGAGTTCACCTACTCTCTTGAGTGGCCAACACATGTATGAGAATATTATGAGGAGAAACAAATTAATCAGAATAATGATACAAACTATTACACGATGGCTAACCCCATTATCTTGAGAACTTTGGAAGGTTACTGTTCATTTAGGTCCAGAATACACACTTTTAGGCATACCTCTGTTACAAGTTCTTCTGAGCCATTAATCAGTAACTGCTCCTCACTGGTACCGGCATAAGGAGAGTTTTCAACTGGTCTATTGTCATGCGGAATGGAGTTGTTTTCAACATGTTCATTTCCAAGACTAGAAGGAAATTTTGAACAAAACAAAATGTAAAGAAACTATACAAGACATTTTAAGAAGTGTGAATCATGCATTTCTTTGCAAGCAAGCGAATACTAAAATATGTATTTTCCATTCTACATATACACAATACACTCCATGGCATCAGAAAAAAGAATTATGGCTCTGCCCTCCCCCTTCCCCAAGCAATTATAATTTGACATGCTTGTATTATATAAGTATTTCCATTAGAGCCAGTAATGGCTAACCTTTGTGATGCGGCTATCCTTGCAACTAGAGCATCTTACCTGTAGTAATTAGCCGAGGAATCTTGTTAAATATAAAAGCAGGAATGCAACTGAAAGAGCATTAATGCAGCTGCACAGTTTCAGGTTACCGTGCTCAGCAATGTCAACTCTAAGATTCTAAGACTCTAAGAGCTGCAGAGTTGAATACAGTAAAAAGAAAATATATTCTGTATAATTTAAATAAAAAAAAATAAAAAAATCGGCACAATAGTATGAAAGCCAACACAGCTCAAATGTCTCTTTAGTTGCATCTCAATCTCATCTTGATGTCATGCATATGTTATACTTTGCAGATGAATGCAAAGAGGAAAGCAAGCAGAGCACATGAGCGGCGGATGTTGGTGGCTAGAGCAGCTGATGGTAGGGTTACCTTTTTGGCTTTTTACTTTTAATGGGTTCAGCTTTGCACGCTCAGCCTTCGTTATTACTCACCTCGCTGGCGGATTGATAAAGGAGGGCTCACTCTGAGGGTCAACCTCTATTGCCCCCCCAATGTCACAGTCAGGATCTGACTGCTCACTTTCACTAGCGCCGACTACGGGGAGAGCGGCACTGGAATTTTCTATTGCACTGAAGGGGAAAGAAAACAACATCTTTTTTACCCTTGGGATGTTTTATGTAGTAATCATAACAGAGGCACACACTTGTATTCCACCATCAGTCCAAGCTCTTATTACCTTATAAGGTGCACTGGCGACATAGGGTTACCAGAGCTAAACAAAAAGTTCCCTTGAGGATGCCCTGAAACTTTTTGTAGAACTCTAGTATGGAACGGGAAAATCAAACCTGCATATGGCTCATAATTATCAATAGATCAGATGCCACCTATTACTATGCATCACGCTTTTTTTCCTGTTAAGCATTTTTATATAGATCCCACTATAAACCAACGCTGATTTTATTCATTGTAAATAGCCTTTACAAACAATTCCAGCAAGGCTTTAATAATTTAACAGTGCATCGATTTTAAAACAGTTAAAAAAAAAAGTTAAAATTCAAATGCCTAAATACTTTCGTTTTTTTAAATGCAACATTACAATCTTGATATTACACAAACAAAATGTATTCTCCTGTTAAAAAGGACTTCTATACTACAAAAAAGAAAACCATATGCTAGAAACATAAAATAAAATAATCCTAAATATACCATAAAAATAAAAAATTGTATAGAAAACAGAAATCACTAAAAATTAAATAAAGTTTTAAACTTTGAAGTAAATATTTGCTTGTATGAGGTTCTTAATGTTTGGTTTTGCACAATAATAATTAACCCCTTACAGATCAATGATATTGCTTCCGCTCATCCTAATCTCAACAAGATAACCTATGCAGTTTCTAGTTAAAAGGAACCTATAGTCACAAAAAAATAATTGTTATTTCAAGACTAAAGGTTACCTTATAGCTGTGGTTAGCAGTGGTACCCAGACTGTGTGCAGGGGCACTGCAAGATATTTTCCCGGCGCTATAATCATAGCACTGGGAACTGTGCTCTCCCCTGCCGGCTCTGCAGGACTGGAGGGGAGATCAGAGATCTCCCTCTCTGGCTCGCTAGCACTTTGCTGACAGTTGGCAGGGGATGGAGGGAGAGAGAACCCGTGGGAGCTCTAACATACAGGGTTCTCCTCTCGCGAGCATGAACAAATCTCACAAGAGTGAACTCTAGCAGCTCCTGAGGCTGCTAGAGATCACCGTCACCACTGTGCCAGGGCTTCCCCACCGGACCACCAGAGATTGCAGAAACCCCTTCCCAAGCAAAGAAAAGGAGGGCTGTGGAGGTATCTGGGTGCCTTAATATAATACAAATACCAAAGTATTTAACCAGGAAATGTTAATTACTTTGGTATTCGTATTATTATGTTTATAAAATATTTTACCAGGGAAGATACATTGAGATTTCTCTCGTTTTCAAGTATGTCCTAGGTTCACAAATCATTGCATTGTTACATTAGGTACAACAAAATACAAAAACAAAAGATTACATTCAGATTACTCTGGTTTTCAAGTACGTCGTGGGGAAGTACGTCTTGGAGACCTTAGCCCAACATCCAAGGGTTGTTACTATTACCCAATTTAATATTACACATATCTATCTCGGAAGGATGAAGGGCTGAGTTAACCGTGCCAGGATTTGAACCTGTGACCCAAGGGCTGAACAGATTCTACTGATGATGCATTAGCCCACTGAGATATCTCACAAATTACAGAGATATTCTATTTTGGCATAGAATCTATTCTATCAGCACACAAGTTATTTACTCAAGTTCAATTAGACTCAGAATTATCAATATGGTGTCTGTAAAACAAAAAAAATAAACAAATTCACTCATATATCCCACAGGAGGCAAATTTGCACAACACATTCACCTAAATTATCCAAAACTGTTGAAATCTGAAGTGCCTGTACAAGTTCCAGTAGGATGTGTTTCTCAGAACCCCTATTAAAGAGGGATAATAGAATAGAGCACATGGACAATCTTCTATTAACTACAACACCATCATTGGTTTCAATACATTGGCTTAATGGAACATGCTAAGCCCCAAAACAACTTTAGTTTAATTAAGCACTTTTGGGGTCTAGATCATGTCCATGCTGTCTCACTGTTCAATCTTGTACCAAACTAAAGAAATTTGAATGTGGAGAAAAATATAGCATGAATGAGGCCAATACTTTAAATTTGGTAGGTGCCTAAAATGACCCTTTGAGCAACAGGTTAAAGAGATATTGTAGGAATTGTAATGGCTTCCTCTGACTGAAGTTGTCATAGTGTCTGGCCCCCATTCTACCATTAAGCATTAAACAATTTTTAAAGCGAAAATAGAGTCCCCAGAAGCCCAAACCCTTTATGTTGCTTAGGCTAAAGAGACAGTATTAGCCTTAGCAGCAATGGGTGGCTGCGATTGGTTTAGAACGTCTACAGAAGGCATTATAAAGTACACTCGTCACTTATCTAGAAGCTCACACAATGAAAAGAAATAGATTACGGTTATGGAAAAAGTATCCCAGCATGTTTATTCGTAATGTTATATACGCATGTATAATAAAAGCAGTCTACATAAAGATTTAGGTACTCCTCAAACAAAAAAAATGAGATGCAAATGTGCTCAATGCAGTCCCCCCTTAAGTTGTACAACTACAACCCTGTAATATATTGCCATCATAACTGTAAAGCATCAAGGGATTTGTAGTTTAAAAAACCTAAAGCCTGCCTGATAGCTATTCTAGAGATATAACAACTGGAGACAATTCACTAGACGAGAGAAAGGTTTTGGGAATCATAGGCTAATGTTTAAGAATATCAACTTCTAACCTTCAAGTCAGACCTAAAAGTTATTTACCACCACATATACATGCACCAGAATTCAGTTAGTGTTTTTTTGTTTTGTTTTTTTAAGTATAAATTAGTGTGGAGTCAGTATGTATGAATGAAGGAGCATATGTTGCCTGCTCCCTCATAATGGCAAATGACAGAAGAAGTATCATGGCATGTGGGGAGGTAGTGATATCTATAGGAAGGAGACAGTGATGCCATATCAAGTGTTCTCCATTTCTTCCTTAGACTCATATCCGTCCATATCTTTTTTTTTTTCTTCCTTTTTTGTGTCTCCCTTTCGTTTGTTTACTTGTGACAAAGGATGAGGGTCCCTGTTGTCTACAGTAAGTTTCATTGTCAATCAATACAATGCTTCTGCTGTAGAGAAGCATGAAATCAGATTTTGGAATCCTGCTTCATTCATGACTGGTAGTGGGACAAGGCACTAATGGGTGGATTTTGTTCTGGGGTACAAAGTCCCTGCAGGCTTTTCACTACTTACACAAACTCCAATAGACTAACGTGACAGAAAAGGCATATTTTCACATAGGCATTATTAATGGATGTTTTATATTCAAAATATCTCTGGTCATGCAATCCACCATGTGAAACAAGTGCTGATTCTTTCTTAATTATCAAGAGCTTGGCAGTTATAGCAAACTGACATGTACATACAAGAAAACCACAACATAATTCCTGATTATATGTATATTACAACAATATCAGGGGTGACACATCGTGAAAGCATGGCACTCCTATGGATGAGGGTTAGGAAGGGAATGCAGTAAATGAGGTTTTGAAGCTGAACAGGAAGTGAATGAATCATAAAACGCTGATGATTATGGCCAGGTGACCTGAATACAAAATGCCAGTTTTGGAAGTAGGATACACAGGGTATTGGATATCAAATGATTTCAGTATCCTACCACAAAAAGGTTTTTGGGGGTTGTTTTTTTTCCCCCCGTGAGCCATGAATTTAGCTAAATTTGAAACACTTGCAGAGCAGAAAGAGGTCAGAGTCCTTTACCAAACAAATGAAAATGGAAGAAAAAACTAACCAACACAAAGGTCTCTGTAAATATGTTGCCGAACTGGTTTTTATAGAAGACTGACCGGACTGTTAAAGTTGTTTTTTTTTTTGTTTCAATCAGATTTCATTAATTTTCTATTAGATTCTTGCTTTAAAGAGAAGGTGAATAACTTTATTTTATTTTTTAGTTATATGCAAAAAAAAAGGGACAGAATAGCAGCATTTGGTAATAGTGACTGTAAAGTTTGTACTGCAAACATATACCCTGTAGCATATGTTTGTTACATATCATGGGAAAGGGTTAGAGCGACAGCTAACTTCTCAGCCAATGAATGAGAATCTGTGCATATAAATATGTACATAATTGACATTAGCAAGCCCAGAACTCTTGCTTTACATTGGCTAAGGACATCCCACAATTGGACTACTGGAGGTAGAGTTAAAAGTCCAGCAGCAAAGTGGTTAAACTCTGTATGTGCAGCGTTTCCTAGCTAAACATTGCACAAACAGATGCTGCACATACAGACTGTAGTTAACCCTTGAACTGGATGATTAGTGCAAGAATGGTGTATCAAAACTGAGTGGATGTTAGTTTGTGGGATAAGTGTGAGGAGTGTGTTTTTTTGTTTCCAATTTAAAAAAAACCAAACGTAAACCATTATGTCCTTGCTTCTATTTAAACAGCGTAAAATTTAGGCTTACTGCAACAAGTTGACTGCAGAACCCTTTCTTTAATGCATGCCCCACAGTAAAGACAAGAATGTCTGAAAGCACTTGTGTTTGTTAGCTATAAAGCATATCAGCCCATTTCAAGTGGTAGTGTTATGGTCGTGAAAGAAATTCGGTCCAGCAACAGAGACTGGCCATGGACATTAAAATGTTCAAATCCTTGTGCGACCTACTCAACCAGGCACCGTTTGAACCCCATACGAACGCGGTTATTAAAACCGCCATTTATCTAGCCTTTTATGGTTTCCTTAGACCGAGAGAATTCACCATTAGTGGACAGCACCATAGCCAAGGGTGCCTCTTCACCTCTTACCTTAGGAAACATACAGACCACTACATCCTGACCCTACCTAATACCAAAACAAGTCAGATGGGGGAAACCAGTTCACATAACATACTACCCCACAGGAAGCAATTGGTGCCACAATACCAACACGCACCACAGAACCACTGCTATTACTACATGATGCAGTTCTTACCACGGCTAAGTTTATGCTTTATGTCCGCATGCTCATCACCAGGTTTGGTCTAAATCCTAGCAACTACTCAGGGCACTCCTTCAGAATCGGAGCTGCCTCCACGGCCTCTAGCCAAGATATCCCAGCGCACGTGATTAAGACACTGAGCCGCTGGAAGTCCTCGGCTTACGCCACTTACATTCAACACCCAGTGCAAGAGATTAGGAGGGCTTTCATTAAGATGTCTACCTAATATGTAATGTACTATGATTCTGAATAAATGTTTTTGCTTTGATATTTCTCTTTTTGCCCACTTTATTTACCGGCCTACAGCATACATCGGTTTCAGCACACCTCAACCGACTATTCCTTTTATTTTACTCCTCTTCACCAGCGTATTCCATATCATATGAGAATGCCCTGAACACATTTATTCAGAGCAAAAAACGGGTCGCAAGAGTATTCTGAGACTGGACAGCAGCTGAAATAGCCTGCCCTTCGGTGGGTCCCCGCTCAGAACTCAAGCTGGTTTTAGCTCATCTTGTGCCGTTACAGAGAGAACATATCTGAAGCAAATCAGACTGGTCCCACCCATACAGGCAGTCCAGATCCAAAATGCCAGCAAGTTCTCTCTGCACGAGAGATAAAGCAACCCTAGACGATCATTTCAGCCTTGTTAGGCATCATCAGTGAGGCATAGCTGATATCTCTCTAGGCACCGTGAGCAAGGGGTCCACGTCTGGATTACCCTTTAAACTTATGGAGAGCAAAAAACAGGTCGCAAGAGTATTCTGAAAATGGACAGCAGCTGAAATATTTATTCACATTGGCTTTTAGTAAATTACCTATATCGTCATACCATGACCATAACCAACCGCTACCACTGACATGGAGGTTCCCTCATTTTGTATTACTCTCAGGCTGGGGAGCATAAATAAGCATGGCATTTCATTGCTGGCACGGGGTCCATAAGAACCAGATTGAGAGGTTGGTTTGGATTTATATATGCACTCTACATCTATCACCATGATGTAATCATACTTTGAAGACAAATACAATTAATCTTACTGTAAAGCTTACCATGCATTTAAATATGTGATCATTTACTGATAATGCTTAACATAATTAATGTGTCTACTCTGTGCTCAGCAATTAACTTACAGCTGTGATATTAACCTTTAAAAGGTAAACAGTCCAATCCATTTTAAACACAGTTTAACAAGCTAAACACACACCTATAATATGTTTAAATAATAGAAACATGTAGAGCAGTCTTACTCTGGCAGCGGGACAGGAGGAATCTCTGAGGTAGATGAACTGGAAATGTTCTCTGTGCTAGTTGTCAATTTCAAAGTCCCCTTTTCAAGGTCTTTGGTGTCTGCGTCAATCACAGGTACATTTAAAATTTGCTCTGGTCTGGTTTCCTAGGGGTAAAAATAAAACACTTTAATAGGTTGGCATTCACTTCCACAAGCCAGTTCATCCTATGCTTGTAAGTTCTGGAGATCCTGTATAGTTGAACGATTCCAAAGATTAGTTCTCCATGGTTAAAAATTCAAAGTAGCGTTACTGCAAGTAAACTATCCAAACCTCTCCTCGACTCAGAACCTTGAACAAGAGTATATTCTACAGGCCTGCATGATTCATGTCGCAGGGACAATGGGAGCACTCATCTGCAGGTGGATGCATGTACGCTGACATGGAAGTAAAAGACTGCCGTAGAGTTAAAGTGTGTTTGTACTTTTTGAGTAGCTCGGATTTAAATGCAACAACTGCAATATTGCATATACACTTTTTTTTATTGAAGCAGATAACGAGGATATCAATGATATATCTTAAGGTTTTAAAACAACTGTCCCTGTGTTTAGAAAATATGACATTACTCAGTTGTGCCAATCAATGCTTAAAAGGACACTGTAGGCACCCAGACCACTTCAGCTCATTGAAGTGGTCTGGCTGCTGTGTTTCTTTTGCACCTAGTGCTGCAATGTTAAACAGAGCTCTAAGTCTGCCACTAGAGGGCTTCCAGATTCCAAACTGACTTTTGGTCAGTTATCTGACATTGGACGGTCTCACGCTCATACAGAGCATGAGGCCGTACAGTGTCAGATTTTCCCCATACGAAAGCATTGAATAATTCTTTCCTATGGGGAGGTCTAATGTGCGCGCAGCCATTGCCGCACATGCGCATTAGGTTTACCCTGCCAGCTGGGGGGATGGGAAGGAGCGTGGGCGGAGCCTGAATTAAGGTAAGTTTAACCCCTTCCGTCCCATGGGAAGGGGGGTGCGCAAAGGAGGGGGGGGGGGTTGTTTTCCTGGCACCATAAGATCCCTTTAATACAGTCAAATCCTGATTTCATGATAATTTATTAGTAGCAAATCCAGTGCCACACCCTACAAATGTTGGTGAATTTCACAAACAAATCAGTAATGGGTACCAACTTTAAAAAAAATATATTCTATAAATTGAAAAAAATTACCTTTTCTTCTTTTGGACAGTCTTCAAAAACACTATCTTCAACCAACTGGCTTGTAGTTATAGGGTCCACGGTTTCCGCTATAGATGGGATTTTTGGCTGCTCAATTTCATCCTAGGGTTTGGATTAGAACCGATTGTTAAATAAACAAACAAAAATAAATAAAAAGTGAGCACAGGCCCTCACGCATATAAACCAGTACATGATTCCTAGAAGACAAGGGTGCAAATGTTTATGAACTGCTCTAAATAAATTTTAAAAAGTACATTAATTTGTAAACAAAACATTAATCTATCCATACAAGTGGATTATAATTTTTTTTTTTTTTAAATGCTAGAGGAGGCTGGAAGGGTGTTTGCAGTTTCATATTGAAAACCAGACCATAGTCGCAACATCTAAGAACCTTTGCAACAATGCAGATCAGTTGATTTACAAGCAATATTGAGAGAATAAAAAATAAAAAAAACCATTGCAGACAAGTCTAAACAGAAATGATCACATGCATCAAACTACGTACCCAAGACACACCTTGTATCCTTTCTAGGGATATGTTATGTAAAGTTTGATGGCTAAATAAATATAAATTAAACAGAAACTTCCACACTTATCCAGTCACACTTAAAGGACCACTATAGTGCCCTGAGGGTGCCCCCACCCTCAGGGACCCCCTCCCGCCCGGCTCTGGAAAGGGGAAAGGGGTAAAAACTTACCTTTTTCCAGCGCTGGGCGGGGAGCTCTCCTCCTCCGATCCTCCCCGCGCATTCAGCCAGTCACATAGGATTCATAATGCTTTCCTATGGACACTTGCGTGCTCTCACTGTGAAAAATCACAGTGAGAAGCACGCAAGCGCCTCTAGTGGCTGTCAATGAGACAGCCACTAGAGGATTAGGGGGAAGGCTTAACCCATTCATAAAACATAGCAGTTTCTCTGAAACTGCTATGTTTATGAAAAAATGGGTTAACCCTAGCTGGACCTGGCACTCAGACCACTGCATTAAGCTGAAGTGGTCTGGGTGCCTAGGGTTGTCCTTTAATTGCCAACCAAGTCTTTTTAACATCTCTCTAAAATTAAAAATAAAAATGGATTTTGGGTACAGTATTTACGGCTTACATAAGTTACAGTGAGCCACTAATGATAGAATGACGTGCACGTCTTCAGGGGCAAAAACCTACTCTCCATTCAAATGGCTAATTGCTTAAAGGAACACTCAACATTGTAAATAAAAAAATAAAAATAAAAAAAAGAAACACACAAACAAACCTGTTTTGTGGATATTCTGCCAATGACCTCCCCTTTTTCCCCAAAAGAGACTTTGTTTCTTCACTGAGAAGACTCTAAAGCAACACCTCCCCCTCCACCACCATGTGTGCGTGCGCAATGCACAGCTTTCAGAGGAGATCTGAGAAGAGTAATGCGGGTGAAGGCAGTAGAGCGTGCCTGCCACTTCAGATAGTTCAGGGGAGCCAACGGAGGTAAGGAGAATTATATTTTTAAAAAAGCACCTTTTAAGTGGGATGCTCCTCACTCAAAGCACTCCAGAACACTGAATTTACTTTATGGGTGTGTTGTATGCGTTTAGCATTTTATCTTTTCTGGCAGGAAATAACTTCAAGCATTGCTGGGGATGTGTGATTTAACAACTTCACAGAGAACCCATGCTATGCCTGCCGCCAGAAATCTAATAAAAAAAAAAAATATATATATACTAAAAAAAAAAAAAACATGTCCAGGTAGGTTATTTGTTATAGGAACACTATAGGCCCCCAAACAACTTTAGTTTAATGAAGACATTTTGGTGAATAGATATTGCCCCTGCAGTCTCAATGCTCAATTATATGCCATTTAGGAGGTAAATAATTTTGGTTACACATAGTCAGACCTCCCTGCATGTGACTTACATTGCCTTCCTAAACACTTCCTGTAAAGAGACAGCTGAAGTTTAAACTTCCTTTATTACACAGTGTGTTTGAATTTTTATTTCATATTTCTTGATCTGCCAAACCAATTTTAAGATTACACAGCTGGAAAATATTTCTATAAAATAGTTTGGCTTAAAAATGTGCACTTCCTGGTTTAGCAACCCTTCTAGCTAAACTGTGCTAGTGAAATTGCCAACAAATGTAAAATTGGGCAAGATTCAGCTGTGTGATTAGAAGAAAAAACAAAAACAAAAAAAGCACACACTACATAAACATTATTAAATAAAAATGCCAGTATGTACTTTTGTATTGCATGAAGGGGAATGGAATGTTTAGTTATACCATAGAACTGTAGTAGTAAAAAAATAAATAAAATAAATAAAAGTCATTGATTTTATGTTCTAAAGAACTTTCAAAACACACATTTTCAAGAAATAGCATGACAGTATTCATAGAGACATTGAATGTGACGGCAGATAAGAACCATTCGGCCCATCTAGTCTGCCCAATTTTCTAAATACTTTCATTAGTCCCTGGACGTATCTTATAGTTAGGATAGCCTTATGCCTATCCCATGCATGCTTAAACTCCTTTACTGTGTTAACCTCTACCACTTCAGCTGGAAGGCTATTCCATGCATCCACTACCTTCTCAGTAAAGTAATACGTTCTGATATTTTTAAACCTTTGTTCCTCTAATTTTAGACTATGTCCTCTTGTTGGGGTAGTTTTTCTTCTTTTAAATATAGTCTCCTCCTTTACTCTTCAATGCAGGATTAATTATTTTAAAGTGAAATTAACAATTTTTCAACATTAGCCTAGATTGCCTATTAAAACTGCAAAACTATTATGGAAGGCATCAAAAAAATCCTTTGTACAATAACTTTACACACCAATGGTCTAGTCATGGGAATGCTCTGAGGGCATACACGTTCAAAATTCTAATTGACACACCTCTTGCACTGAGGGATGTTGTGCTAACAGACATCTGAGGTTACAGTTCAAGCATAAAGTCAAATCCTGTAAAACAACATGACAGCGACGGCTAATCAGAAGCAGGTCATCCGCTCCTGGGCAGGGTGACATGCAGTATTTGTTTAATTACATCATCAGCTCATGTTGTGCACACTGAAACAGATCAAAAACCATTGTCTGGATTAAAAAGTTAAAAAGGTTATTCTGCAACTTCTCTATTGCACTAAACCCTAAGTGGGAGTCCCCCTCCATAACAGTTTGCTGCCTAATGTAACCCAATGTTAATTGCTTAGTGCTCATCCATACTTGCATTTATCACATCACCATATGAGGCTGTACACGTATATATGCATTTCATTCTGAGAATCTGTTTTGTGTTACTCTCTTTTTAAATGTATGCATGTATTACATACATGTTTATAGTCAATGTATGATCAAATACTGTAACTAAAAAAGTCCGTTAGTTTGCCTATGCCAGACTGTTTTTGTGTGTGTGTGTGTGTGTGTGTGTGTGTGTGTGTGTGGTACATATGTGATGCAGACTGAGCATTTTGTGAGATTTTTCCAATCATTCATTTCTAATTGATGGTGAATTTAAACTCTTAAGAGGGTTCCCCCTTTGAACCAACAATTAGATCTTTATGTTAGGAACGGCTCTTTCAGTAACAGAAGAAATAATGGGAAAGAAAACCAATTGCATTAGGCATGGTTTAGGTAGCAGACCTATGTTGACTTTATAATCACTTTTGTTTGGTGCTTGACAAAACCATACATCCGTAGTAAAACGCTGCCGGAGTTTAAAGAACAAACACAAGTTGATACTTCAAAGATTTTTAACCCCTTAAGGACCAAAATTCTGGAATAAAAGGGAATCATGACATGTCACACGTCATGTGTCCTTAACCCCTTAAGGACGCATGACGGTTCAGGACTGTCCTCGGCATTTTTGCGTTGCCGACCGAGGACGGTCCTGAACCGTCCTAACGGAAAACGGGCGGCGGGAGCGATCAGAGATCGCTTCCGCTGAAATCCCGTTGTTACTATCTGCCCGGCATCCCAGGCAGATAGTAACAGCCAATTACGGCGTGTGAGCGATCCGCGATCGCTCACAATTGGCTGGTGTCAAAGTGGGTGTTACAAACACTCACTTTGACACTGATCTCTGCCTCTCTCCTCTCTGTAGCGTTTTGTGAGAGGAGAGAGACAGAGATCCTGATAGTTTGTTGCAGCAGCTGTTCCTGTGAAAATTAAAAAGTATCTTCAGTTAATAAAAATCCTATTTTAACCCCTTCCCTGCCAGATCTGTTACAGACAGTGCATTTTTACTGTCTGTATTTTTTTTTTTTGCCCTTAAGGGTTAACTTTATTTTAAAAAAAAGTCTGTCTTCATCCCCCCTTTTAGTGCCAACGCAGGCATTAATGTGAATGTGGTTGACTTCTCCCCTATACAATATATGGAGTTATTTTTAGGGGATACCATCTGGGAGGAGATTGCTTCCCAGACTAATTTATACGCTAGCCAATTTATTGAGACCAATCCAGGTAGCTATACAGTCAGGGAGCATGCTTGGCATCCCACAGATGTCCCTGAACTTAAAACATTCTGGGCTCTTACCATGCTCATGGGGATAATAAAAAAGCCATCAATCCGGTCTTACTGGAGCACCAACCCAATTTGTTCGACTCCTATATTCTCCCAAACAATGCCTAGACCAAGATATGAGCTGCTGCTCAGATACTTACATTTTAACGACAATACGCTCTGTCACCCCAGAGATCACCCCGAATATGATAGGCTTTATAAAATACGCCCACTGGTAGACCATCTTCAGAACAGATTTTCTGAAGTTTATACTCCCCAACAAACTTTATCCATCGATGAATCCCTTATGAAATACAAAGGGAGATTAGGGTTCAAACAATATATCCCCTCAAAGCGGTCTAGGTATGGCATTAAAGTGTACAAACTTTGCGAGAGCGAAAGTGGCTACACATTTGCCTTCCGTGTATACGAGGGGAAAGATGCTCAACTGAACCCTCCTGGCTGTCCTGACTCTCTGGGGACAACTGGGAAACTTGTTTGGGACCTACTGAACCCTTTGTTCAATAAGGGTTACCACCTTTATGTGGACAATTTTTACAGCAGTGTCCACTTGTTTAAAATTCTTTATAGTTTACAGACACTGGCCTGCGGCACTGTAAGAAGAAATGCCAAGGATTTTCCCAGACCTCTCAGAGGCCAAATTAAAAAAAAGGGGAATGCAAAGCTCTGTGCAAGGCTGAACTGCTTGCGCAAAAATTTAAGGACAGGAAGGATGTTCACATGATAACAACCATCCATAACGAGGGCATGTCAGACGTCACTGTCCGAGGCAGGGTACAGACAAAACCGGTGTGCATCAGGGCTTATAACAGGCACATGGGGGGTGTTGATTTGGCTGATCAGCTGATGCAGCCTTATCTTATCTTAAGAAAGACAAAAGCCTGGTATAAAAAGGTGGCTACCTGTTGCAAGTAGCAACACATAATTCATTTTTACTTTTTTAAAAAATTAATCCAGGAAGAACCACCTATCTCCAATTTCAGCTCAAGCTGATTTCCACAATAATTTATGGAGATGGTCAAGTTCCAACGACAGTGCAAGAGTCGTCTAGACATTTTATTTTTAAGATACCGCCAACACCAAAAAAAAGAAACCCCAGAAACGTTGCCGGGTCTGTTATAAAAAAGGGAAAAGGACAGACACCCCTTTTCACTGTCCCGATTGCCATACAAAACCTGGACTGTGTATTGGAGAATGTTTTAAGGTCTACCACACAGAAAATACATTTTTATAATACTTGTTCCTGATTTATTTTTTTTGTTTATTTTGAAAGCAGCAAATTTCTGTTAGTCAGTATCCTTCCCCAAATCTCCAGTTAGATTCTTTTTGCAGGAGTTAGTTTACAGATTGCTGCTAACAGAAGTTTTAGTCTCATTTAGTCTGTTTTTATCAGTTTTAGTCTGTTTTTAGTATAAAATAAAAAAAATTGTGTGTTAGTAACTCTGTGTTAGCCAGACTCTGACGCCACTGACACTGCGTCCGATTTTGACCCAGGTCAGTTTTCTGACATGTCATCTGTGTGTGAGCTGGCTGCAAAAAGAAGCTGTGCTTTCTCTGCTACGCCGAATGTGGAGGAGGAACAGGTTTCTCCACAGTTAGCTGAGCCCCAAATCACCCCTTTTAGTGCCAACACAGGCATTAATGTCAATGTGGATGACTTCTCCCCTATGCAATATATGGAGCTATTTTTAGGGGATACCATCTGGGAGGAGATTGCTCCCCAGACTAATTTATATGCTACCCAATTTATTGATACCAATCAAGATAGCTATGCAGTCAGGGAGGAGTGTGCTTGGCATCCCACAGATGTCGCTGAACTTAAAAAATTCTGGGCTCTTACAATTCTCATGGGGATTATAAAGAAGCCATCAATTTGCTCTTACTGGAGCACCAGCCCAATCTGTTCTAGTCGAGTGTACTCTCAAACCATGTCTAGAACAAGATTTGAGCTGCTGCTGAGATACTTACATTTCAATGACAATACCCTCTGTCACTGCAGAGATCACACCCAATATGATAGGCTTCATAAAATACACCCACTGGTAGACCATCTTCAGCACAAATTTACTGAAGTTTATACTCCTCAAAAAAATGTATCTATTGATGAATCGTTAATGAAATATAAAGGGAGATTAGGATTCAAACAATACATCCTCTGAAAGCGCTTTAGGTATGGCGTAAAATTCTACAAACTGTGCGAGAGCGAAAGTGGCTATACATTTGCCTTTCGTATATATGAGGGGAAAGATGGTCAACTGGACCCTCCTGGCTGTACTGACTCTCTGGGGACAAGCGGGAAACTTGTTTTTGACTTACTGATCCCTTGTTCAATAAGGGTTACCACCTTTATGTGGACAATTTTTATAGCATTGTCCGTTTGTTTCAAACTCTTTAGGGTTTCTAGATACTGGCCTGTGGCAGTGTGAGAAGAAATGCCAAGGATTTCCCCAGACCTTTTATAGAGGCCAAATTAAAAAAAAGTGAATGTAAAGGTCTGCACAAAGCTAAAGTGCTTGCAATAAAATTTAAGGACAGGAAGGATGTTCACATGCTAACAACCATCCATAACGAGGGCATGTCAGACGTCACTGTCCGAGGCAGGGTACAGACAAAACCAGTGTGCATCAGGGCTTATAACAGGCACATGGGGGGTGTTGATTTGGCTGATCAGCTGATGCAGCCATATCTTATCTTAAGAAAGACAAAAGCCTGGTATAAAAGGTGGCTATCTACCTGATGCAAGTAGCAACACATAATTAATTTTTACTCTTTAAAAAAAAAAATGAATCCAGAAAGAACCACCTTTCTCCAATTTTAGTTCAAGCTGATTTCCACAATAATTTATGGAGATGGTCAAGTTCCAACAACGGTGCCAAAGGAGTCCAGACATTTTATTTTTAAGATACCGCCAACTGCAAAAAAAAGAAACAAATCCCCTGAAATGTTGCTGGGTCTGTTATAAAAAAGGAAAAGGACAGACACCCCTTTGCACTGTTTTTTTTTCTTTTGAAAACAGCAAATTTTAGTTAGTCAGTTTCCTTCCCCCCAAATCTCCAATTAGATTCTTTTTGCAGGGGTTAGTTTAGAGAATGCTGCTAAAGGTGCATTTGATACCTGCACATTTGGTTAAAAAAGTTTTATGGTAGTAACATATAACTGGCTGGCCAAAACCAGATAACGTGTGCATAAAAAGCAGAATTAAAAAATTACCACCATGCACGTTCTCTGAAATTTGTTTAGCACAATGGTTGGGGGAAGGATGTGAAAACACCTCATATACAATACTCTGGAATGTCTACTTTATAAAAATATAAACTTTCATGATGTTAACATTAACGGGGGGATGCAAAAATATGCCAAACTGAAGATAGGCCAAGCATACCTATATATCAAGTTGAAAAACTGATATGTACAAGTCTTGAATATGGCCTTTTAGCCCCCAAACAACCCAGCAAACCTATGCATGGGTGATGTCACTGTACTCAGGAGATGTTGCTGAACACATATTGGGGTGTTGTTTGGCAGTGATACATAACAGGATCTGTTAATTCATGCCTAAAGTACAATGTATGTGTAAAAAAACATGAAGAAAATTACTACCCAAAAGTTTGCAAAAGGCTGGTGGTAGAATTATTGCATGAAAAGTATTAAACTACCACCATTTAAAATACCCTGAGTTGTCTACTTTTCAAAAATATATGGTTTGATGGGGGTAAAATACATTGGCCCAAATAGGACAGGGGCGCTGGGTTACTACATGTCAAAATTCCAAGTTGAAAAATGGATATGCGCACCTGCCAAATGTGGCCTTTTAGCCCCCAAACAATCCGACAAGCCTATGCATGGGTGGTATCACTGTACTCAGGAGATGTTGCTGAACACATATTGGCGTGTTATACACAAAAAGTAGGTGGAGCAAGTGACAATAATAATAAAATGTACTTCCCTCTCTTCTACCTTTCTTGCTGTAAAAGATAGAGAGGTACAAGATAGTGCAGATATTTCTTATACACAATATATATAGAAAAAAACAAATCTTATACACTCACAATGGAAGAGCCATAGATTAGAACCTGGCTCTGGTGTGAATCTCCTCTGGGATCTTAATAGGGTGATCCCCAAACCTCTTTGATGATACTTGTTAGAGTATAGCTTCTTTTTCCTTTTTCTTTCAATACCAGGCAATGGAGATAGAGTATATTCCAGGGAAAAAATATTTATTTGCAAAAAATTATAAAATCAATATAAATGATATAAATATAAAGGGTAAGACCTCCCAGTGTCCAGTAAACTTGCCAAAACGCGTTTCGCCGGTATGTGGCTTCCTCAGTTGGCATAAGGTGGTAATGTTCTCTAAGTTCTTTAAATATTTAAAAATCGCGGGTAATTTTCTTCCGGTGGAACGCATCTATGCGTTCCACCGCCTCCTTCCGGTTTCCGGAATGTCTCCGTCACTTCCGGTTTCGCCGAAAATACAAAGCGTCGACTTCTTCCTAATTCCGGAGGAATTACCTCATCTCCGGTTTGGTCGGGCTGTGTGTAAAGAGGCATCCTCTTGATTCAAACGTCCTTGGAACGCATATGCGTTCCAATGTTATACATAATACATGTGTCAGTTCCCAAGGTTGTTAGCAGTGTTATTTAAAGTGCTGCAAGTAATATCATTAAAGTGCTTAAGCAAAAAACATGTATTTCACAATAATATAAAATAAATGGGGTTTAAGCATATGTGGAACAATCAATGAGCAAGCAAAAAGGAAAGAATAAGATCACATCAAGTTAAAATAAAATATACATTCCAGTATTATACACAATAAATGTATCAGTCCCAAAGTTATTAGCAGTATCATTTAAAGTGCTACAAATAGTGTCATAAAGTGCTTTGGCAGTAAATATGTATATCGCAAAATAATTAAGTAGAAACATATGTGAAACAATCAATAAGCAGACAAGAGAAAAGGATCACATCAAAATAAAAAATAAAATAAGATAAAATCACATCAAAAATAGATATGCCCCAACAGTATTGATCTAAAATAAGATATACATATGATAAAATGGTCTCTAAAAGTGTGAATAAAAAAAAAAAAAAAATCCTGAAACCTAATATTACATAAATAATTATACTAAAAAATGGCACAGTTCGAAGTCCTGGTTTAGACCATGGGGAATTAAAGTTTTAAAATTATAAATACACTTCATTTCTTCTTCTCCTATCTTTCTATTAAAATCACCTCCTCTCCAATCCTTTTGTACAAGTTTAACTGCACAAAAAAATATGTTTTTAGGATCACTGTTATGATGTGTTTTAAAGTGGTTAGAAACACTATGTGTTTCTACTCCTTTCTTTATATTTCTTACGTGTTCTGAAATTCTAATGTTTAAACATCTCGTGGTTCGTCCTACATAAATAAGATCACAGGGGCACTTTAAAATATAAATTACATTTTTTGAAAAGCAGGTTAGTTGGTCCCTGATATAAAATGTTTTATCATTCTGATAATTAAAAGATAAGATATGTCTTTTTTTCTGGCATGTAGTTCTGCAGGCTAAACAAGAGCCGCAACCATAAAAACCTTTACTTTTATTTAAAAAATGATCTTTCTGTTTAGTTTTAAAACTGCTGTTTACTAAAATTTGTTTCATATTTTTACAGCCCCTATATACTATTTTAGGTTCTGGAGGTATTATTTGTTTTAAGATAGGGTCTTCTTGCAGAATTGGCCAATATTTTTTAATTATTTTCCTAATTCTTCCATTGTTTCCACTATGGTTGCATATGAATGGTATATTCGTGTTATTTTTATTTGTATTTTTTGTTTTTGTTCCTTTATGGTTTATCAGATCTTTTCTTCTCATCTTTTTAACTTGTTCTAAGGTTCTTGAGAGGTCTTCTTCATCATAACCTCTTTGTAGAAATTGTTGTTTTATTACGTCTGCTTGTGTACAGTTTCTTGTGTGCAAATAAATATTTTTTCCCTGGAATATACTCTATCTCCATTGCCTGGTATTGAAAGAAAAAGGAAAAAGAAGCTATACTCTAACAAGTATCATCAAAGAGGTTTGGGGATCACCCTATTAAGATCCCAGAGGAGATTCACACCAGAGCCAGGTTCTAATCTATGGCTCTTCCATTGTGAGTGTATAAGATTTGTTTTTTTCTATATATATTGTGTATAAGAAATATCTGCACTATCTTGTACCTCTCTATCTTTTACAGCAAGAAAGGTAGAAGAGAGGGAAGTACATTTTATTATTATTGTCACTTGCTCCACCTACTTTTTGTGTATTATATGTCATTTTATGTGAAGGTGTAGGGGATACCTCACTGGTGTTGAGAGCAATTTTATCACTTCTGTAGACATACCTGTTTGTATTATTTCACATATTGGCGTGTTGTTTGGCAGTGACACATAACACGATTTGTTAATTCATGCCTAAAGTACAATGTGTGTGGAAAAAAAAACACACACAAAAATGACTACCTAAATGTTTGACAAAGTCTGGTGGTAGAATTAGTGCATGGAAAGTGTTAAAAAACCACCATTTGAAATACCCTAGGGTGTCTACTTTCCAAAAATATATGGTTTGGTAGGGGTAAAATACATTGGCCGGCCTTACAAATGTCCCAAATAGGACATGTGCGCAGGTTGACTACATGTCAAAATTCCAAGTTGAAAAATGGATATGCGCACCTGCCAAATGTGGCCTTTTAGCCCCCAAACAATCCGACAAACCTATGCATGGGTGGTATCACTGTACTCAGGAGATGTTGCTGAACACATATTGGCGTGTTGTTTGGCAGCAAGACATAACAGGATCTGTAAGTTTATACCTGAATTGCAATGTATGTGAAAAAAAACAAAAAAAAACAACTATCTATGCAAAGTTTGGCAAAGACTTGTGGTAAAATGGCTGCATAGAAAGTGTCAAAATATCCTTAGATGAATACCCTGGGTTGTCTACTTTAAAAAAAAAAATATATACATGTGGAGTGTTTTCCAGAGATTTATGACAGATAATAGTGTTACAATGTCACTATTGATACATTTTAAAAATGTTTGTTTTGAAACCGCCATATCCTACTTGTACCTATAGCCCTATAACTTGCAAAAAAGCAAAAAAAACATGTAAACACTGGGTATTTTTAAACTCAGGACAAAATTTTGAATCTATTTAGCAGTTTTTTTCATTCGCCTTTGTAGATGAGTAAAAGATTTTTCAAGTAAAAGTAAAAAAACATGTATTTTTTTCAATTTTTCATCATATTTATTTATTTTTTTTAAATTAAAATACATGAGATTATATAAATAATGGTATGTAAAGAAAGCCCCTTTTGTCCTGAAAAAAACAATATATAATTTGTATGGGAACAGTAAATGAGAGAGCGGAAAATAATAGCTAAACACAAACACCAGAAAAGTGTAAAAATATTCCTGGTTGCAAATGTACAACATCGCAAAAACAGTCCAGTCCTTAAGGGGTTAAGGGGTTAAAGTAAAAATAAATAAATATTTTTAAAAAAAAGTCATTTCTGACAGGCTTTGAATGCTTTCATTTTAATGGTGAGATTATATTGTTTTGGGTTTTTACTGGTAATATCTAGATGAGCACTCAACATATTCTTAAAACATTTGACTACTTACTCTGGGAGAGCACCACGGAACTTCTGGTACCATAAACCCTACAGCAGGCAGTAGAGGTTATGGTGCTTTAAATGTTTAATTACTTGTAATTGCTGTGTAGCTACTAACAAACTAGAAACCAGAAAATGTTCAGTTCTATGCTTATCATTCATTAACGGGGAACCATCCTTTTTCTAATAGTAAAAAAAAAACAAAACAAAAAAAAACATTGAAAATCTCACATAATGTGCATTAATCTTTA